TTCTGTTCTATATTTCTGTTCGTTTTTTATGCACCAAAATATCAGAGCAAATTCCTTATATGTAAAAACCTACTTGGCAGTAATAGCCTACTGATTCTGTTCTAAATTACAGTAAGATAATACCAAAATCATTCACACTTTCCAAATTAAAATTAGGAAGGATGATTAACTTTATACAATCTAAAACAATCTAAAATATAACTGGTTTACATTTCCTTACCTGTGTACATTTGATTTTGGCATCTTATAGACCATCTTCTTTTATATTTACATATATTTTTGTTTTATTTGCACTGCGTGTACTTTAAAACTTTGTACTGCAACTGCTGAACAAATATTTCCCTCTGGATAAATAAAGTCCTGTCTTATTTTATCTTATTTTATATCTCTGGTTCTGTGCTCTCTAGTTCTCCACAAACAGAAGCTTTTACATGTGTAAGTTAAAGGAAGCCCACAGTTTCATTTCATTAAGCTGTGAAACGTTTGCAGTTTGGACATTTGGGATATTATACATGGATAATGTTTAATAAAAGGTTAAAATGCTTTTAAATGGCAAGTGCTGTGCTGTTTGGTCTTCTGATAAAATTTCATTTTGATAATCCTAATCTCGTATCTGGAAGTTTCTGGTGTTTTTCTATGCTTATGTGGGGTGTATGGTTGCTGATTTACTTATTTTGATAAAACATGCTTTAATCTTTGTACCTACCATTAAGACTAGCTGTATGTATAAAGTGAAAACGTCTTTACATACAGTAGGCTGTATAGCTACTACACATAAAGTGCAATTTGAAATTAAAGAAGTGTGTCAATGGATTGTTAAGGAGACTGGTGGTAAATCTAACATAACTGGGATGTTTAAGTCTATATTTTAAGGTTATTAGAAATACATTTTCATGTCAAATTGAATGTCAGTATGCACCATGACCCTGCCTTCTAACACATGGATCACTGTCATCTTGATTGAAAAAAAAACCAGCCCTGATATGATTTACAGCTTCTCTCTTTGAATACCAAAAAGAATGAGAATGGCTGTGATGTTTGTGTGGTTTCTCATATTTCAGCATGCAAGCATTTCATTATTCCCTGAGGAGCCACAAACTCGGAGCCAAACCACACCATCACTGGGTTTATGAAAATGCTCTTCTGTTTGGCTTCGTGTGTTCCAGCAAAGACAGCTGCCAATCCAGAACAACTTGTACAGACTCATCCAGCAGTGTAACTGATTACCACACCGCCTGGCCAGACAGGTCAGCTGGAATGAAGAGATCCGAAACTCAGAATTTAGAAATTCCCTAATTCCTCAGCGGACGAGGAAGGGGCAAATAATTCTTCCACATTCCTCAGTCCCTCCCTCTCCACACCCACAGGACCTCCCAGGCACCCAGCAGTCGTAACCAGGATGTGCTTCTTGGTGATGGGTTTAACTAGTTTATACGGCCTTTGAGATCCAGTCTGAGTTAACCTATATTAGTAATCTATATATTACTGCTAAGGTATCTAATCTCTGGTGGATTATTGCACATCCATTATTTAAGGATCTGATGTAACGACTTGATCAGAGTCAAGACAATGCAGGAAACAAGCTGTCATTATTTTTCCTTCAAAGTGCACCGAGTTTATTGTTTCCTGGGTCATTATTGCTGACAGGGTAATCTCATTGAATCCAGCTCTGCGTGTGATTGGTTGATAGCTTCCCAGTGGTTCAATGTGAAACCTACCTCATTTTGTTGCTTTAAATGGAGAGGCAGCTTTTTGATAAATTACCCAGACAAACAATGGACAGATAGATACATAAACCAAATGCTACAGATCAATTGACCCATGGATGTTTAATTAATTTGAAGCACAGCAGGTTAAAGGTACAAACAGATGCAGGATACGCAGCTTTAATGGGTGACATTTGCATTTAAGTCTTTTTCAAAATCTCACCTGTTACAGAAAAGGCACCTTACAATACATTTGATCTGACTCATTTATTAATCAATAACCGACAAACTGAACAAGCACAGGAAATGATCCATATACTCAGAGACCACTGCAGCTGATCATTCAGATAGGAATGATTGGACTTTTCAAGGAACATCAGAAGTAGCTTGTAACACGACACCAGCATGAAACCTTAATCCTCCCAGCAGAGGAAATAAGGGAGAGAAATTTGATGCTTTAAGAGCTTCCCTGCACCCTGATGGGATTTGGATTTAGCTTCGCTTTATAAATCTCCAGCAGGATGGCTGCTAGTGGCAAACACTGCTTTGTGCCCTCGAGTGTCCGCATGTGAATATAAAATGAGTTTTAATTAGATAAAAAAAAGGGAAAGGCAAATGTGTACCTAGACGAAAGCCTGTAGTCTACCTAGAAAGTCCAACATCTCTGGGGCCACATATGTGTAGCATAAGACTGAAGTTTCTCTGCTGCATCTGATCTGTAGCTGTGCGAATGAACATGAAAAATGTTAATAGCGGTTTTAACACATACCATATACTACAAGGGAACGTCTGTGGTTTGATTCACATGGTTTCACATCATCCCCCTTCTCTTCTTTCATTTCCTATCATCCCTTTACCATCTATTCAGTAAACATATTTGGCAATTCTGGAATTATGGCAGTGTGGTGGTCCAGTGGTTAGTAGTGTTGACTCACAGCAAGAGGGTTCTTTATTCAAACCCACAGTGGGAGGTTTGAGTTTGCACGTACTTCCTGTGAGTAATTGGTGACTCTAAATTGGCCATAGGTGTGAATGTGCATCTTGGCCATCACCATCTTTGGAGCCAGAGGTGACCATATTTTCACAAGAGGGTGAAGCTGTGGATGAACAAGGGCTGGATTTGTCTCATAGACTGTTGTGACCAAGCAGTTACCTCCAGGGCTAAAAATGAAATGAAGCCAACACAATAGTACCCAAAACTGCAGTTCTTCGACCGGCCACTTGAGGCATGCTCCAAAAGTGAGTCAGTCCCCATAGACCCCCATGTTAAATGCCCAACTTTAAAGCAGAAATAAACCTGTTTACAGCCTGGTACAAAAATGGTTTTGGTCTCTATGGCTAATTTTCCCCCCCTCCCTTTCCCCTTCCCCTTCCCCTTCAAGAACTGAAGGGGGGTGAATTTTAACTGTTGTTGTTTTTTGTTTCTTTGTGTCAGGCTGTGAACACGTTTATTTCTGCTGGTGAGTTGGACGTTTTAACATGGGGGTCTATGGGGACTGACTCGCTTTTGGAGCCAACCCCAAGTGGCCTTTAGAGGAACTGCAGTTTTTGGCACTTACACACTGGCTCCATCTTTGAGCTTCCGAGGTTGTTGCTTGATATTTTCCCCCCAAAAAATGCATACAATCAGGGTAATAGCAAAGATTTTTGATATACTAGGATTATCATTTTGTATATTTTTTCTGTTTTATTTTCTAATGATTTAATAATTTAGTTATGCTCAACAAAGGTTTCTGTAAATATTAATTTTCAGGTCTAAATGCTGTTTAAAATCGCTGCACACGGAGACAGGAATACATTTCCTGTGGAGAGATACAGGGCCTCCATAGGACTGAGTATTGAACCTCTTCATTGAGTATGTGTAGCATCAACTACTGACAACTGAACCATATGTTTAGGCCTGTTTACTTCAAAAAAAATATTTCTTACTCTAGACTGTGTTTCATTCCTGAAAATATTTGATTTAACATACATAACACTGATTCACAGTTTGATGCATTTCTTAATGTTGTCACGTGGTTATTATCATATAAAATCCTTGACTGATTTTGTTTGAATTATCATTATTATCATTATTATTATTATTATTATTATTATTATTATGTATTTAAATGCAAGTCTATCAAGTGTACAGGAACATTAACTCCCTCAAGGCGCCAAAACCCCTCACTTCCCAGAAAGAATTCAGAAGACATGACGTCAGTGTCCTCGGTGCTAGCTCCGGCTCCACATATGATAAGAATTACCAAGCAAAAGACCCTCAACTCACAACTCTGCACACAGGCAGCGGATAAAGAATAGAGCTGAAATGACTTCTGATTGATTCTATTGAGGGGGCGGACCTGCTGTAATGAGAGGGGCTGTTCGTCCATCTGGGGGCAACAACTAAAAGCTTTATTTAAGCCCCTGTCTGATGAACCTACAGAGGTCCTGGAGGTCAAACGAGGGAGATCAGAAATGTAGAAGGAGGTCAGCTTGTTTTAAAGCATCTTGAAACCAATTCTAAAAAAGCACTAGGAAACATCTGACCAGAAGCTATAAAGCTACAGTTCCTCTTTTTCCAGCAGTCAGTTGTATGAGTTATTTGTGTGCCATATGTGAAAATGCTTAGTTTACACTTTTGGAAAAGAGCATATGAGCGGATAAATCTTGCAATCTTGTGAAAAATATTAACAGTTCTCCTAATTTTTTTAATTTATAAAGGAGTCAGTACTTATTTAGAGGTTTAATGTTTGTTTACATATTTAATTTAGTTCTTTTTAAATGTGTAATTATTCAATCTATATACATTTATGTTTATAGTAGTCATATTTTTGGTTATGTTCAACCTGTTTGGCTGTACTGTCCTTGTTTTAGCTGCATGCCTTTTTCTGTGTACATTGAGAAAAATGCTGAAATCCTTTATACATGTTCACAGTGACTTTGCCATTAAAGCTGATTCTGATCTACATGCAGTACTATGTGGAGCCTATAGGAGACACAGGCTGCCTTTTAAAACAGCATATTGAATTTAAAGAGTGTAAAGTTTTTTAAAATACACGCTATTTCCTAATATTTGCTCTCAATTCTTCTCTTCTAATCCACTCACTCTCATAGTTTATTGGGAGAGTGTGTGTGACCTCCAGCCCAGGCCAGCCCCTGCTTATATTTCATTGCATCCTGATTCTCTGACATGTAGTGTGTTGGATGGGGGGAAGGGTAGGAAGAGGAAGAGGGTGTGTGTGTGTGTGTGTGTGTGTGTGGTTGGAGGAGGTGGGGGTGAAGAATGCTTGGTATGTGCGGACGACAACAACATGAAAGGCGACGCGCGTTCAGCCCAAGCGATTGTGCGCCTGCAAATCAAACCCAAAAGCACTTTGTGTCCGATTATAAATTGATCCGCAGACACCAGACGTCTCGACGTGCCTTTGTCAAAGCAAAGCAAAGCGCCAGTGTGAGTTTGTGTGAGGCGGCCACGCAGTTTATTTGATGTCAAACACCCTGCAGAGGCGGAGATGGTTTGGTCTGTAGTAGGTGGGACTGCCGAGCGGTCTGCAGCAGGACGTCGTAGATCAATGAACCGGACCGTAGGGTTGGTCCATCGCCTGGTGTGCATCTGACTGTATAGATGTGTCAGTGTACCTATGCAGGGACCGAGGCTTCTTTTTCTACTGTTAACCAGCCTGTTCAGTATGCGGATGTTTTAAACCGAGTGGCTATTTCATAGGCTCTGTACACCCGCTTGGATTCCGTCTCTAGTGGCTCCTCGTTGCGATTTTTTTTTAAATTTTTTGGGAATAAAATACATCTGTAACCTCCAGGATGATCTTTGCAAACACAGGCAACCCACTGAAGACAGCCAATCGTAAGCAGGTAGGCCAAAAACACACACACACACATTTATTTTATTATTATTTATTTTATTCTGCCTACTTTTCCCCCCACACTTGAGGCAGCGTTTGGATAACCAGGCTGAATAATAGCAGCCACAAATGACATTGGAAAGCCCTTTCTGGATCTCCTATGGCTCATAATGCATCTATATCTCACCCTTTTAACACCAAATGAATTAAATTGTGTTTAAAAACATAGATGCATTGCTGTGAGCTGACTTGTCAGACGGGAAGCTGATCCTCTGATAGGCTACATGGGGAGATAAAACCAGCTGCTGACTCGATCCATAGCTCTACAGCCGAGACTTTGATTATTATGTCCATATACCCTTGTTTGCCCAGTCACTCGCCCCCTCTGGTCAATATGCATGACGGTTATTGTAGTCCATTTTATAAATTAATGCATTCAGGGTGAATCCAGAAAGAGACAGAGGCAGTGTAATGTAATGTGTGTCAGTGTGCTGGAGTGAACTGAGCTGCCTGCATCCGTCATTTTGACCTCCCAGGTGAACGGAAAGGTAATTGAAGGCCATGCCCCTTTGCTTTCCCATCACACCTTTTCGATTTAGATGGAAGATGGGGAATAGAAAGCAGGCACCGAGCTGTTATTCTAACCTCTCATGATGGAAATGTGAGCCTTGTGTCAGATGGGTTGAGCCCTGCAGCCTGTAAGATCCCCAAATATCCACCTTTTCAGATTACACTGTAATATTTATTCATCAGTAGGCACCTTATGTGACTTTGAGGCAAGAGAAATCTGAAACCGGCCACTCATGAATCCCTGCAGGGAAGCAGTGAATGAGTTTTCAGTGTGGGCGTTAATACAGGTTTAGGCTGCTATAAGGTGTGATGATACCCCTGTGAAATGTACCACCGTAGCTGCACTCTAATGGAGTAGGCGTAGCGTCTCAGAAGCCTGATGTGAACCCTCGATGGCCCTCAAACGAAGTTAGTGTGGTAATTGCAACAGAAATGTAAGGCCTCTACTTGGAGACACAACAGGCCTGACAGATGTTCCTTTCACAGCCATAGATTCTTTATCTATAAAAGAAAAATAGCTGCTGTGAATGGTTATTCGTCACACGAGCATGGAGGAATATCTCAGTGATTCTTGCTGGCATGGCTGTAGTTTGTGCCTGGCTTTGGCCCTCGGATTGGATTGTCCTTTGGTTATGGACAGATGGTGCAATTCTGCCATGCTTTGTCTTTGATCTGATCTGGAGAGGGTTTGGGGTGGCTGGGAGCTATTTTAATGAATGAGTAAGGGGAAGGAAATGCTTTGCAGGGCAGCGCTCCGTGGTTTGGCTCACGAGTATGAAGAAAACGGTAGGTCTCTGATAAACGCTATACTAGGATGTTAGACATGAACACACATTTAATCCCATTGCAAGTCATAGAGTTTGGACAGAATCACCTTTTTACAACAACTGGGATCTTAAAAGTCAAACCTACCTCACAGCGATGGAAGAATTACCCTTCACTTAAGTAAAAGTAGAAATACTGTATTCTAAAAATACTCCATTACAATTAAAAACCTTGAATTTAAAGTGCTACTTAAAGCTGCAGTTGGTAACTTTTTTAAAAAATAACTTTTTGTCATAATTGCTGACACTGTGAAGCTGTCCTGACGGCATTACAGGAGACAGAAAAAAATCATGTCCCTCCTCCTTGCAGTGCTTTTAATGGCATTTGCTAGAAGCCACCGCAACTGATGGAAAAGAACCACTCAGAGCCGAGGAGCCTTTTTAAGGAGTCTGTCAGTAATGTCAATCACTGCCCGTGAACTGTGGTCAAACTGTCAGACTAGGCAGTGCTGATTAAATATGAATCATGATTCTGTCACTGCATTGCCTGTTTCTTACCTTAAATGTTTTCAGAAGCATTTTTTTAGTGTAATTATGTGGGTGGCCTGGTAGTGCAGTGGTTAGCATTGTGACCTCACAGCAAGAGGGTTCCTGGTTCAAACCCCCGGGGTGGGTGAGCCCTTCCATATGGAGCTGGCATGTTCTCCCCATGTCAGTGTGGGTTTCTGTGGATACTCTGGCTTCCTCCCACAATCCAAAGACATGCAGGCTAGGCTTAATTGGTGACTCTTAATTGACCTATGGCTAAGCCACGCCCCTCTCCACTCACTCAGACAAACTATCAACATTGACTGGATGCTGTCCTTTCGCAGGAGACAGTTGATGATTGTTGGGGACATAACGATCAGATTTCATTGAGAAGTAACCAAAGGGGCCTAAACTACGCATTGGAGGGATATATTCATCATTTTATTGTTGAGAAGCTTTATGAAAAGCTTAAATTACAAGCCAAAATTTACAGGTCACAGTGTACGCTTGTGAACCGCATCTCGTTGCCGTCATCATCAAAGACAACAAGTTAAAGTGCCACTGAAGTTAAGGTTTTTGTCTCAGAATATGAGAAAAGGATAACAGCCTTTTTACCATCTTTACCAAGAGTGTCTCTCCGTTAGTTTGGTGCTACAGTATTTACATTGAATCATTCAGCATAACGTTTGCCAACCTTTGTTATCTCTGCGATTACAGATAAGTTAATGAAGCTAAGCTCCAGAAGTTAACGTTAGCTTAACTAGAGCCCTTTGGACAACAGCTAACAATGATGTACGATCACCAAAGTACAAAACTAGAACAAAATAGGCTAATGAACTCCCAGCAAACAAGGTGACATGATGAACAATGCAGCTAGGAGCTAACGTTAGGCTAACTTTAGCTAACATTAGCTAGAGATGTTAAAGATAACTTTATATTTTTTTCCAGCAAAGTTGCCTCAAACACAGTGTTGACTTACCTTAGAACAGATGTAGACATCAATGTTAATCTTATTCACGTTGAGTTGATGTTGTGGTCTAACGTTACCACACAACTTTATCTAAAGGAGACACCTTTCAAGGTTGAGATGTGGTTTTGGAAAGGATAAAAAATACGCCCCGTCGCCCAGCCTCTCCAACTTGTGTCGGAGTTGCATGTACCCCATGCACACCGTCTGACCACTTCTAGACTTCAAATCTCTGAAAACGCTCATAAAACTGAACAAAACTGACTTTCTGTAATGCATTTCAATGGACGTCCAGGCAGAGAATGTCAGAGCGTATGGGAATGGCTATACACACTGTGATTGGTTCATCGCAGAGAGCTGGACTTAGCCATAGGTCAATTGGCCATAGATGTGAATGGTTGTCTGTCTCTATGTGTCAGCCCTGTGATAGTCTGGCGTCCTGTCCAGGGCGTACCCCGCCTCTTGCCCAATGTCAGCCGGGATAGGCTCCAGCCCCCTCCACGACCCCTAACAGGATAAGTGATTACAGAAAATGAAATGTTTACCTGCTTAACTGCTGCTCAACTGTTTTTAACATGGCTGTCGAGTCACAAACATTCTCATTCTAAAGCTAAACAGTACACTAAAAGATGTGACTGGTGGTAGTTTTTACATGCGGTAATGCCATTATCAGCTATACGAGGAGGCAGAGGAACATGTTTTTTGTCACAGATGAGCTGCGTCATCTCTGTGTGAAAATAGTGACAGATTCAGCCAATATGATAAAAAGTTATTTTTATCACATGAACCAGCTGTAGCTTTCAGGAAGTATTACCCACAAAATGTAAGGTGAAAGTATTCACAATGCAGGAACACTATTCAGAGAGCTGTAGTATTTATGAAATTTCATTAGATGTAATTACTTAATATTGTAATTTTTCAATTGTAGCTAATTTGAGGCCCTTTGTACGCTACTGGGTAGTGTATTAGTGAATTAATACACTAATACACTACCCAGTAGTGTAGTGTATTAGTGAATTAATGCATCAAATTTTATGACCTCATAGGCTATGTTTTTCATGTGAGTTTGACAGAAATATAGCGGAGTAGAAGTATTATGTTGCACAAGTAAAGTACAGGTACCTTTGTATCGCACTCAAGGACTGTACTTCAGTAAATCTACTTGCACAGCTGGACCCTGATGTTGTGTCAGGAATGTCACAATGTAGAAGACCTTAAGCTGTGTTTGATGCTCTGTGGATCAAAGACGAGCAGTTCTTATCACCTTGAGAAGAGAACAAGAGCGTCTGTTAATGCAGCATGCACACGAAATCCGTTCGTGCCCTCTGTGTGTTTCTGCATTTTCGTTTTTGCACGGATGATGAGATGCTCTTGTGATCACTGTTGACCTGGGTCTAAACTAGATTATCTAGCTCCCATAAACGTCCTAACAGTGGCTTTCCTGTGTTCAGTCCTACCCCATGACTCCGGCCAGTCCCAGCAGCAGCAGCAACAGCAGCAGCACAGGCCTGGAGCAGCTCAGCAAAACCAACCTGTATATCCGCGGCCTGCCTCCTGCGACTACAGACCTGGACCTGGTCAAACTCTGTCACCAGTGAGTACACACACATGTACAGTGGGAATGTAGCAAGTATGCTAATGTTTGTGCACACCAGTGTTTTGTCATTGATATGCTTGTTTGCTGAAAAATGGGGCCTGAAGTGGGTTTTCAGATATTGCATACCGATGTCATTCCAGTCTGATTTAAGGAAGGTCTCTCCCTGACCACGGACACATTCTGTTCAAAAATAACTTGCTGTGAAATTTTAGTTGCGCAATTAAGTTTATGTATCTATTAAGTGACGTTTTACTGTAAATAAATTCTTAATTTAAAGGCCCAGTGTGTCAGATTTAGGGGCAGAAATGGTATATAATAATCATAAGTATGTTTTCATTAGTTTATAACCTCCTGGGGAAAAAAACTGTTCTGTTTTTGTTACCTTAGAATGAGTCGTTTATATCTACATACAGAGCGGGTCCTCTTCAACAGAGTCCCCCATCGTTTTTTTTACAGGAGCCCAGAAAGGACAAACCAAGCACTGGCACTATATAAGGTCATAGAGCCATGCTAGCTGTTACTCCCTGTTTCCAGTCTTTGTGCTAAGCTAAGATAACCAGATGAGGGGGTAGCTTCACATTTGCAGATATATGAGAGTAGTATCTATCATCTCATCTAATGAGTGGCAAATACAAAATGTCAGAGTATTTGTAAATAAATTCTTGATTTAAAGGGACATGTGGAATTTTGGGAAATACTCTTGTCCAAGTTAGATGAGAAGATCGATGCCCAGAGATGATTAACTGTGGAACAGTGGAAAACAGCAAACTCCTTTTAGGCCTCTATCACACAGAAAGTGTTTTGCAGGTTACAAAACATGAGGCGAACTGCACTGCCTTTTTTATTTTAATTGAATGCCACTAGTAAAGAAAAACAGAATGCTTGCTGCACCTTCTTATTGTTGCCAGTTAACCACCCCATCACCTCATTACCCTAACCCAGTGGTTCCCAGCTGGTCATGCCTTGGGGTCCAGATTTGCCCTTAGTTATTTGTTCAAGGTCCACAAAGTTTGATATATTCAACATCATACTTGCGTTTGTCCATGTTGTCCAGCTACTTTGCTGTCTCTGTTCAATAGCTGTCTGTTATTCACTCACTCTACAGCAGGAAACAGCACTTCAAAATTCACTGTACTTCAAAATAAAGTGTGTTTTTTACAAACTTGACATGCTCACGAGTCACCTGCGACCCACTTTTGGACCACGACCCACCATTGGAAACCACTGCCCTAACCTTCCTGTGTATCCAATTTACCGTTTATTTATTTATTTACTTTTTAATTTTATTTATTTTACAATAATTAGTAGCTGATTTGTACTGAGATCGGAGTAACTGCGGTCCGTAAAGTCGTATAGCTCTGGCTATCCAGCAACCGCTACCGCCAGTTTCAGCAAGCGAAAGGCTTAATTCTCATTAACAGCAATTACGAAAATCCTCTTCAGGTTGCTAAAACAATTTCTGTGTGATCAGGGCTGAAACAGCAATATGTAATTTTTTTACCTCAGTCTTTTTAGTTGGTGAGTTTAAAGGGGCTGCTGGTGTTAGGAGTGTTCTGTTACCCTTGGACAGAGCCATGCTAACTCTTTCCCTCTGTTTCCAGTCTTTGTGCTAAGCTAAGCTAACCAGCTGAGGGCAATAGCTTCATATTTGCACTATAGATATGAGGGTGGTATCAACCTTCTCATCTGTCTCTTGGCAAGAAAACAAAATGTCAAAATGTCGTTTCTGAGAAGTTCCCCATCATAATAAGAGACTTTTGGGAACATTTCCTAAATAAAATAAACTTAATTTACATATAAAAGGCTACAGATAAAGAAAATAAGTTGAAACGTGACCAACGTGTACTGACTGTATGCAGTTTTAGTGCAAAATCATCTATGTTGGCATTCAAAGACACACACTGGTTTAACCATAATGTACTCCGACACATAAAATGCTCCAACCACCATACCTCTATAAACAGTCACACACATGGAAAAGTTATAGCTCAACTGCGGTATTTGAAGCGGAGTGTAAAAATGATTGTTTTCTTAAAAAAAGAAAAGGAAAAAAAAAACAGAGTCATGTAAAGCAGCAAACACGTCGGACACTTGATACCATAGGCTTCAGTCCGAGCGGTTGGTGTGGTGGATGCCATAATTAGTGGAGTTTTGTCTCCTTTCTTTCCCTCTGAATTACAAGCATATGGAGAGAGGCATTCACCCATGTAACCAGCAGCAGCAGCAGCTGTTTGTGTCCTGTTTGCTTGTGTTTTGTTCATGTTCCCAATGGTGTTTGCCGGCACAAAGCAGAAATGAAAGCGCTTTTCATAGCAACAAGGTCTGAATGGTGATGTAAGCTAGGCATTCAGTCTGTATGTTGTGTGCGCTCAGATAGCAGCTCACGGCTTGGGCCACAGTTCAACTTGAGCATAAAGTCAGAGATAAAGCAAAACCTGAAATGTTGATATTTGGATTTCTGGTGTTTGGAAACGTGTAGGAGAGAGTAGTGATGTAGCATATGAAATAACACCAGTTTTTATTATTGTCATAAATTGTTCTTTTCTTCTTGTGTTAGACTGTCATTATGAGTGAAGGTACTACATATATATTCCTAAAGAAACGGATTAAAATTTGACATTAACAATACAAAATGAGAAATCCCAGGCGATTAAGAGATATTTATAATAAAATACTATCACCAGCCTCACTTGTTGAGTTATTTGTCAGTAATCTACATGTTGATATGTGCACAGGTATGGCAAGATTCAGTCGGCAAAGGCAATCCTGGACAAGACAACCAACAAATGTAAAGGTCAGTAAGCTTGTCAACTTACCATCCATCACATATCAGGGCTGCACAATTAGAAAAAATATATTTAACCATGTAGCTTAAATCCTCTCACATATCACAGAGACTCACTCTGTATTTGAAGCATCAAAGTAAATTGTTCTTAGCTGACTTTCATAAAGTGTCACACCAGTGTTTTTGCACTGTATTGTATACTGTATGACTGCACACTTGTAAGATATGGAAACATACTATGTTATTTTAGATTTTTGAATGAATTTCCATACCTTCCAGGCAGCTCCTGGTTCTCATTCATTTCCATAATGCATGACAATCCATTTGTGGTGAACTGATATTTTTGCTTGAGTCGGGTAATCCATCACCGTGAGAACACAAACAGCGACTGTGTCTGCTTTTATTTTTGTCCCAATTTGTTCTGTTGTTGAGTGACATCGCGGCTGAAAGTGCAAAATCTGCCCTGCATTACAATGTAATGAAAACAGAAGTTTGACTGAAACAAAAGCAGATTATAATGGATTACCTTAGAGTCTCTACAAATAGATATTTACACTGTATGGAAATGAATGGACACCAGTGAGTGACTAGGTGGTGGGAAAACACGTTTAAAAATCAGGAACACCTCAGTATGCTTTGGAAAATAATGTTAAGGGATGCAAAGTATGTGTGTTGTCGTAAAACAAAGTGCTGGTCTGGTTCTTAAAGGGATAGTCTGACATTTTGTGTTCAAAGCTCCAGGAAGTTGCTGCGCCCAGCCAGGAAGTAGTCACCTGTAATACTGCAACTTTTCATTAGCTAACCGGCTGCTGCCTCCAGTTCATATTTACCATACAGGCGTGAGAGTGGTATCAATTTTATCATCGAAGTCTTAGGAAGAAAGTAGAAAAGGAGTTCCCAAAATGTTCAACTGTTCCTTGAAAATATTTCAGAAAACAATCTGAGAGAAATCAGATTTTAAAAAATCATTTTGTAGTGTAAATTCAGAAATAAAACTTCGCATAATGACTGATGATGCAAAGATATTTTGATATGTTTACAGTACCAAAGAATAAAAATCATTATAAATATCCCAGCCCTCAGTATCAGTGATAGTACAAAATGTTCAGCACAGTCGATGCTTATGTTATGTTGTAGCAACTGTTCATATAAACACTGTTCCACCAACTACAGGTTACGGCTTTGTGGACTTTGACAGCCCGGCGGCTGCTTTAAAGGCAGTACATGCTCTGAAAACCAGCGGCATACAGGCCCAGATGGCCAAGGTGAGTTTGGTGCAGGCATGTGTGTGAGCATGTGTGTGTGCATATTTGTCTTGCTTGCTAACATCTCTGCGGGGTTGTGCTTCTTTAATGCGCGCATGTGTCCAGTGTGTGTTGGAGAGTGACATTAGACGGTCACATGACCTCAGCTGACAAGCTGTTCTTCCTGTGACCCCATTTACTTTCACTGTAGACACCAGATGTCACGTCCCTCTCTGCCAAATAACCTGTCAGTCAGCGCGACACGTAACACACCGGACCACCAGCCCACACACTAACGCACCATTGTACTACACAGATTGTACAGATTCTTTTAACAGTAGTATTACTGTGTCGCTGAGTGGTTAACAATCATCATTCATGCATACTGATGTAGGCATTTCTGCAGAGAGGCACTATGGCAACAGTACTGCTGCTTTGAGCCATTCTTGATCTTCTGTGACTAATTCAAAGTAACCAGTTTTTCATTTTTCAAAAAATATTTTTAGATGACAAACAGGGTGTTTCTGCTCCGCATCTGTTATTTGTCTCGTCGTGAAGTAGCAGAAATTGTCTGGATCATTTAATTTCTTTCAGTCCCTTCCCTTCTCCCAGCCCGGTCTGTGTTGCTGTGCTTAAAGTCATGGGTAAGAGTTCACTGATGAAGGGTTGCTCTCTGGAGAGCTGCATGTAGCTGCTCTGTTTGAAACAAACACGGCAGAACACAGTTTGTGTGTTGTGGTAGCTAGGCTACGCTGCTCTCCTGCTGTTTCTAGGGAAGACTATAGAGGCGCTGAGCTGCTGCACAGTACAGATGAAGTGTGTTTCAGTGTGTAGGTGTGCGTGTGTGTGCAGGAGAGTTTATTAATGTTTGTTTAACCGAACATCTTCTGACCCTTAACCATACTCATGTCTCAAACCTGGATCCACACAGATTCACACAGCAGAGAGAAAAACATGTCAGTCTTACATTTGTCAGTAAAGAAGTAGCACAGCACTGCCTCTATCTCTGGCTCTCTAAATATATGCATGATTAAAGAGAAATTATTCTTTCATTATAGCATGTGACTTGCAAAATGTCGTACAAGTCATTCACTGTACGTCTCTTCCATCTTCTTCTCTATAAGCAGCAACAGGAGCAGGACCCCACAAATCTGTACATTTCCAACTTGCCTCTCTCTGTGGATGAGAAGGAGTTGGAGAACATGCTGCAGCCCTTCGGCCAGGTCGTCTCCACACGGATCCTCCGAGACTACAGTGGCAACAGCCGAGGCGTGGGCTTCGCCAGGTCGGTCACAGAACATTGACAAAACTAATTTCATCTCTGCTGAACTGCCTTGAAACTAAAAAAGACTCTCAGCTTTGATGTTGGTGAACTAACACCAAATTACCATTCAGTTTGTATGTAGCGGTCAGCAGTGTTGGTGAAGGTTGTCAGTCAGCCAGGTCATGGTAGTCCGGAGTGGTGCATCGTAGGCAACTGGACTCGCTTGAGTTTCTTGAAGACGTGTTCACCTCTCATCCAAGAGGCTCACTCACAAGAACCCTCTTGCATGAGAGGTGAAATGTCTTCAAGAAACTGAAGCGAGTCCAGTTGCCTATGATACAGCACTTGGGAGTGCTCAGAAATGATGCTGTGTAAGCACAATAATTGCAATTGACCACAAAAGAATATTCAGATGTGAGCATTTGCAACAAATTACTCCCTGTTATGGTCTGTTTCTGACATTATATATGTATTTTTTGTAACTCAAGGCAACCAAGATTGAGTTCACTCTTGCATCTTTGAACTCGACAGTCAAACCTATTAACTGGAGTCAGTCATGTCCAAACTCGTGTCTGTTTTTTGTTGACTTTTGCAATCCAGCACGATCTTCTAAATAAATTTCTTACAGAATCTTAAATTGTAATACAGTTGCCAGACCTGGTATTGTTGTGAAGGGAATCTAAGATTATAAGCTGCTATTTCCATTCATACAAGTCCTGAGAGGCAAGGTGAAAAAATGGTTTTATCCCCTACTTAGGAGATATTATCTAAACTTTTCAGCTTAATGAGGCTGTTTTGAAACGAGAAATCCGAGCAGAATGAAGCGCTTAGTGCATGATACAGAGGGCATTGCAAGTTCAGCCAAATGCAGCATAAAGACAAGGTTTTGCATTCTCAGTTAACTAAACACAAATGTCTACAGTACAACATAATGGAACTGTGCAGTGGGGCTGGCAGGATTTTATTTCATATGCACAAAAACCACCCGCCCACAACGTCTAGGTTCCCAGGAGCGCACATACGCAAGTCTACTCAGCGAGCCAGTGAGCAAGGGAAAGCAAGATTAAGCCTCAAAGTTTATCGTGGGAGATAACATCTCCTATGTAGGAGATAACATCGCTTACGCTGCAAAAAAAACGCCTTTCAGGACAAGGTGAATTTGTTTTATATACACAAAGCTAAGCATATTTGTATAATAAGTCTGCTGTGTTTGTTGCTCACAGCTGTACAGAATGTGAACCAGCATTAAAATGAGGAGTGACAATCATTTTCAGTCTTTCTATGAAGGGGACCGAGATTAACCCCAGTATGCGTCACACTTTACAATACCACTTTGTGTTGAAAATGTTGCTGTAGATCATCTCTGTATGATTTATTGATGAGTCATTGTTTTATGTTCTCCCCTGTCAGGATGGACACAACAGAGCAGTGTAATGCCGTCATCTCCCACTTCAACGGGAAGTTTATCAAGATAGCTTCTGGAGCTCTGGGTAGGAAAGAATTTATCCTTTCTATAAACATTCCCTCGCATGAAAACTGTGGAGGCACTGATGATTGATTGCTGTGTGTTAATATGTCATGTCTTTTGTGCTCTGTCCCCAGCTCCCTCTCAGCCCCTGCTGTGTAAGTTTGCAGATAGTCAAAGGAAGAAACACGCTCACAGCGGGTTCGTCCCCAACGGACAGACGGGGGATCTCAGACTAGTATGTACCTGTATATCATCTTACATGTATTTTAACCTTTTGCCCCCATGTTTGATGAGAATGAATGAATGAATAAAGTTTTTATTACTGTGTCATGCATACAGTCTGCATGGGCTTACAAGACACCATAAATAAACATAAACCAGAACCATGCTGTGTATATATCTTTTTAATATAGTTCTATAAAAAAGTCCTTCCACAATCAAATCTTCAGACTTTCATTGTCCACAAAACTGGCAGAACATTTATATAATACTGGAGAAGTAAGTGTCTACGTATTAAGTAGTCCATCTTGCCTTCTTTTCCAGGTCTTCGAGCTAAAGTTAGACACATTAAAATCACAACTATTCCAATTGGAGCTGGCATGGTGTCAGATTTTCACTACACAAAAGAATTCATGATAATGATGTTACCACGATATCTATTGAAAATACATTATAAAGAAAATCCCACTGGCAAGCTAACTGTTTTCAGGTCAGGGAAGCGTGTCTTGTGTTTGTCTGTCATCTCCCTCTTCATGATTTTGTGTGGCCGCAGTATCCACAAACTGTCGTCGTAGCTAGCTGACTAGCTTGTTACTGTGTCACTACATCGTGTCAGGTGTGTGTGTGTGTGTGTGTGTGTGTGTGTGGACAGAAAAAAAAAGGAAATGACAGACAAAGACTGAAATGACTTTAGAGGCGACGGATTATATCCACAATATTATGGTAAATGGACCTGCACTTATATATTTTGTAGCGCCTTTCTAGTCATCTGACTACCGGAAGCGCTTTTTACACTACGAGTCACATTCACCCATTCACACACACATTCACACACTGGTGGCTGAGAGGCTACCATACAGGGTGCCACCTGCTACTCAGTTTTTAACACACTCACACACAGATGGAACAGCCAAAATGAGTAATTTGGGGTCCAGTATTTTGCTCAAGGATACTTTGACATGCAGACTGGAGGAGGCGGGGATCGTACCGCTGATCATCTGATTAGTGGTCGACCCCCTCTACCTCTGAGCCACAGCCAGCCGAATTAGTCCATATTATTTGTATTTTTATGTGGATTTTTAAGGGGATATCAATATTTTGTTATTTTAAATATCGCTATTGTCATCAATACCACTCTATCGTGACACCCCTAATTCCGATATTCGATTGTCTGTATAGTATGCCAGAGTTTGTTGAACCATTTCATGGAAAATTAACTCTTAAATGATCATTTGTACAACAAAAAAGACAATGCAAAATGAAAATTATTCCCATAAAAACCCATTAGAACTGAAAACATGATCATATGTTCTGATTATTGTTGCATATTTGGTTCAGCTGATAAGTAGTAGATAAGATTTCCACAGTAGGTGCAAACACAGGTAAAATATACAGAATTATGCAAAAACTGTACAAAGAGACAAAGACTTGGATTGGCACTCTACACACCACAGACTGGATTTCTTGTAACTTCATAGTAAGTTAATTATTTAAAGCCTGTATGGCTGTAGGAGCAGGCCTTTCTGCACATGGGTAGTTAAGTACTTCTGGAGTGGATGAGTAGTAAAATACAAATATGTAACTCCACATTCTTGTCAATCTCCCCACCTTCAGGGTGCAATGACTCTTACCTATGACCCCTCCTCAGCGGCTATACAGAATGGGTAAGTTACACCACAGGTCATGACACCATTTAACTTTTAACTAGGGTCGTAATTCTCAAGCTTTATTTTGAAATACTGTACTGTGTTTCCTAGGTACTATCCTTCTCCGTATCCAGTGAGCAACAGGATAATGACCGTGCAGCCTGCGATGTCTCCCTACATGTCTCCAGTCTCTGCTTACCAGGTACTGCTGAAAGATCACGGATATAAACATGTCCACCAGCCAGACCTGAATAAAAATCATCGCTGTCTCTCTCTTCCTCTCTTCTGGTGTGTGGGTTGTACAGGTGCTATAGATGTAAGAATAGGTGCTAAAGCTGCCCTGGGCCACCACACAGTTTGGCAGCGCCGCGTGGCAGCTGATGATTGTTTGAAACGTTTAGTGTTAGAAGAGCTCAGTCAAACAGAAATCATGTAATCTGACAGTGAGCTCAGTGGTTCACAGGAATGAAGTAGTCAAAAATAAAACCTCCTCTGAGTCACGCTTTGTCTGAAATGGGTTATGGCTTACTATTTTGTAATATTTCACTCATAAATTTTGATTCATTACTCTCTGTGCATCAGGAACACTTCTGACAACAGGCAAGATCTGTTGCCTGACATACATTTGCACATCATGAATCAGAGGGGTCTTGGTTCTGAATAAAGCGCTTTACCAGAAATTCTTCAGATGAACACAACATGTTTGGGTCTTCCAGGCTTGTGAGAGTTGGAAATAAGTTCTAAATAAAATGCTCAGATGTTCTCTCTGCAGTTTGTCCAAAAGAAACAGCCTCACACTGGATGAAACACCTGCAAAGGCGATCATCGCCCTGGCACCTTAAGGGCTGTAGCACTATGAACACTTAGGATGAGCTGTCTTATGTGTGACTGAGGAGTTTTCACACTAATCCATAACTAGTACTGACATCTAACAAAGACTCACCTTTTCAATCACATGGCGGAGGCAGCTCCTCTCAGGTACTCATCCCCAGGTGGCCTATTCATTGGTAGTGTGAACACTGAAGTCTCCCAGTAAGATGATGGAGTAGGTGAAGCTTTTTCAAGGCCCCCAACTTGAACTCACACATAATTAAGGTGCAAGCACCCAGGCATCAGTCAGACTACATGTGGCAGTCACATCCAAGCAACGCTTTCACTGGGAGAAAGTGTGTTTTACCAGATCTCAGTCATGACTATGGAGAAGTTTGCTTCTAGACGCAGTGCTGTATGAGAAATGAGTCCGACTACATCCAGCAGTGTTTCCTGCAGGATTTTCTGTGCGGTGTGCAGACCTTTGACCCTCTAGGTGGTTCCAGGGAAATGCTTCCCTGGAAGAAAATTAACATTTTTAAGCTAAATGCATCAATCTGATGTACTTTAAGAGCAAAATTAAGACACTAGAATTGTGAAGATCTTTGTGCTCTTGTAAGCAATTTAATGATCAACACAATGGGTGTATTGATATAATTGGTGATGACAAAAAGTCACACCCATGAAGCATGGTAAACGAGATGGATTTTGATGTCAGAACTAAAGAGGGAGTGTTGTGGATGTTTTCTCATGATTTATGTTATCATGAGAAGTGTTAAAATATTTTTAGTTCATATTGAAACTGTGGCGGGCCGTCACAGTCTTTCACAGTTTACACTCCAGCTCCTCCCCCTCATTTCGGTGTACAATTTGTGCAGCCAGCATCCACAGCATCCTCCCTAGTCCTGCCTTTTGCTCAATGGGCATTGCAGTGTTAATTGTTCAGGAGGTTTTTGCCACGAGCCACATTATCCGCAGAGGTCTCTTCCTCTCCAAAATGAATGGATTGAAATCAATTGACATCAATCAAAAATACCAATACCAAATTCTGTGTTTTTCCAAAATCCTGTAACAATGAGGCTGCTAACTACAAAGGGCTGTCACAAAGACACGAAAACTCAAATGGCCCTATCTAGAGCCAGAGGTTGGTTTGTCTGTTCTGGGCTACTGTAGAAACACGGCAGTGTACCATGACGATCTCTGTAGATGAGGACCTGCTCCCTATGTAGGCTCATTCTAAGGTAACAAAAACACAATGATTCTTATTTTCAGTTGATTATACACAAAATAAAACATACTTAGATGTATTGCCAGAAATGCAATATAATATAATTTCTAAATTCTACATACTGGACCTTTAAGTGAGTGTTATTATTTTACATGCCCACGCCCTGGATATGAAGAAGTTAATTTAACTCCTGATAAAACAGACATACCCTCAGATTTGTGGAGTTTAGGGGCCATTTTAATGGCTGATGTCATTGGGGCAGTTTAAAAGCTCCTTACACCTCTTAACATACAGTGAGCAAGCAAACTCTGTTGGATGGAGTATAAGAAATTGTCGAGATACCAGCGACAACAACATTCAGGGAGCCTATTGAGCCCCGAGCGAGCCTACAAACAGCTCGATGTTGTTCTGAAAATATGTTGGAGGTGCACAAGACTTTGCCAAAATAGAGCCAGGGCGAGTGTATTTTCAAGCAAGTAACACATTGCATAGCCTGTTCACTGATGCACGGAGCAGGTTAGGACATCTTCATTGGGGAAAAACTGAAACAATCTGTTTGCTCGTGTCCCATTCAGCCATACAAACACTCAAAACTGGTCCTAAAAAACTAAATGCTGTGGATATTTTTGGGACTGTCATAGTCAATTATTGGTTCCTGATTAGAAATAGTCTTTAAAATGCATTGATTGATGTATGTGGTGTATGCTGTTGCAGTCCAAATGTTTATTTAAATTGTAAAGTTTGTTCATAACATAAAAGATTCATTCAAGACACGTCAATAACTCTCTTTCCATCTGTCTCTCCTTCTGCCTCTCCCTTCCTGTCTGACCCTCCATTAGGTACAGAGTCATTCCTGGGTGGCACATCAACCATATATCATGCAACACCCGGTAAGAGAACAACGGCATTTGCTTCTTTTTTTTTTTTTTCTCATACACTCACAGACCACCTCCTTTTCTGTGTACAGGAAATGGGTGTGTGGCGCCGCTACAGAGTGTTACTTTAATCAAGTATGTGTTCTGCTGACACAATCAAACTAGCAACGTCAAAAACTTCCCCAAATGCAGGAAGATGACAGAGTGGAGACGAGTTCTGGGAAAGAGCCACTGTGTATTTACATGTTACAGGAGTGTATATGTGTGTTGGAGTGTGTATGAAAGAGAAATGGAACAACTAAAAAGACATTCAGCCACCCCCTCCTCCTCCCTCTCTCTGGATCCAGCAGGAAATGCCTGGAGCAGAGACAGTCTTGTGACTCTTTGACTCTTCCAACAGATGGTTTCCAGTGGAACAAGTGTCTCTGCTGATCTGCTCCCTCCCCCACTTTTTACTAGGAAACGGTCTATTCCCTAAAGGCGTCGTGTTTAAAGGAATATACCACATCTGAAAACAGACTAGCGCTGGCAACGTCACACCTTTTTAGATATTTTCACAACTTAATGTTACCCAGGAGGGTGTAATACTTCAAGTTTACCTCAGAGTAACAAATTATCACAGACATATTGCTGCAAATGTGTTATTTTAGTTTCTTTTCAAACCTCAAGCCATAAAACATATATATCCCCAGCTAATCTTCCTGGTCTATCCCACATTCATGGGTTTTAAACAGTCACCAATGCCATATTTATACTCAACTCACACGGCCTGGAGCTGTTGTTGGAGCCTATATGTGCTATTTTATCAGGTGTTTTATAAGAATTTGTCGTGGTTAGTTTGTAGAATCATGTGATATGTGTTAAAAACTCAGCTGCTTTGTGTTTACAGGCTGCTGTGATGTCTCCCTCTGTGGATCCCTCCATGTCACTGCACCCCTCGGCCATGATTACTCAGCAGATGGGCCAGCTGTCACTGGGAAACACTGGAGCAGTGAGTGGAATTCTGGGATATCACACAACATTGATGAGATCAAACCTGCGTAGTATAATAAATACAGAGTACTCACAAATATTAGGACAAAATGTTAGTTTCAGTCTATGCAATCTGTAGTGTGACAGTGATTATACGCCCTGTGCTCTACTTGACACTTGACTTGTGAAAATGCCTGAACAGCGCCTCACTAGAAAGATATTTAATTGGGATATTTCGCATGAACACCCCCAGATTAGTGAGGTGAAAGCTTGTATTATTAATTCATTTTATTTTTTTTTTTCAAAACAGATGACACTGTAATATTTATGATACTGAGTACACATAAATCTCATTTACACCTTGCATTAAAATGTGTCTGGCATCCAGACTGTATCTGATTTAGCCTGATTATTTTATGCCTGGTATTGAAATGTGTCTCCAGTGAGATCTGTTCTGATTTGATCGCCCCGCCCCCGCCTGTCTACAACTATGATAAGATTTTTTTTTTTTAAACGTGTTCAATATTTATCAAAAATTAAAATTAGATAGGGTGCACGTCATGATATTCTCTGTGCTTTCAGAGACAGTGTTGTCTTAAAAATGAAACAAATATTTAAAAAATCTTTGCTGCTCCGACCGATGAAAATACAATACAGATGAGGTTGTAGTGTTAGCATCAGGCCGACAGCTTTAGCGTCAGTTTCCTGGCTGGTTTAGAACAGTTGCACACGTTAAGGTATTTTCGCCCATGTAGTTGTGTGTGGATTGAAAATGCAATTGTATTTAAGACCCAGATGCAACAAACGGACTTCAGAGAACTTGCAGCGACGAAGGCTCCCTGCTGCGTTGCCTGACGTCAGCGTGTCTCAGCCAAAAAAGGTTGCACGTGAACACACCGCAAAGACTACAGCTGACAGTCAATCAGTGCTTATGCTCTGTGCATGTGTGAGTGGAAATAACTCTCCACACCAGCAGAGCGTGGTAGTGTGTGTTCGTCATTCAAAAACAGAAACAAGAAGACTGTTTTGACGCTAGTTAGCCAGTTAGCACATTAACAACACAATTCGGCATTGAAAGAACAAAGCATATTTTCCATGCACCAGTGAATAACACAAACCAGCACGAAATGTTTCAAAATGGCAAAAGAAAAACGGTCTAGAGCGATTTCATTTACCGACTGGCTTTGCTGTCGCCAACGTCGATTCAACATGTTGACGAAGGCCAATGGTGTTGGGCACACTGCACCGATGAGCACAGCAGATGCTCAGCAACAGCCCAACTTTGACTGATGGCTGACTTGTTGGCTCTGTGTGTCAGGGCCTTTACACTTGTGTTCAGTGTGGTCACAATGCGTCGCCGAAAGCCTCTAGTGGTGGTTAGGCCAATCAGATCACAATCTCTCCTCAGTGTGTTTTGGCTGCATTTACACCTGTACTTTCATGTGGTCAAGCACTATGCGATCACAATCCAATCATCCAAAACAAATTTTAATGCAAGGTTTAAAAAGGGTCATTTTTACTGATGAACGAAGAGAGACTGTTAAATTACAAAAATGTTTCAAAGATAAAAGATTTTCAAAGATCTTTGTGTGCACGGTTACATTCAGATAGATTTGCAATAGTTATAGAAACAGGCAGGTTTACTGGTCTCATTTAAGTGAAAAGACTTTGTTATGAGGTTTAGGTGAGACTGAAATTGAAGTACCCATAATGATTTCAGGGCTCTAGTTTTAAGTAAAATGTCTCTATTTCTTCCTTATTGTCCTTATTTACCTTTCATATTCTGTTTTTTTTTTTGTTTTTGTTTTTTTTTTAGAGTACGGTAAACTTCAAACAAATTTTTACTCATTTGCATGTGAAACTAATCTGCTCTTACATCTCCCCCGAAGCCTCTCCAGGAATTTGTTATCTCTGTGTGCCTGGTGTAAACATGTGATTCTTTGTGTTGTATTTCTTTTTCATGTTTTCTCCTGTCTTATGTTTTATTTGTAAGATGATTAGCAAGTAACACAGTTATCAGGTCTGACAAAATGTAATATGAGACTGAATCATTTAATTTTATTTCTCTTATCTTGCAGTATATTTCAGCCAACCCTGGTGTCCAGCAGGCTTACATGCCTCAGTATCCTCCCATGCAGGCAGCACCTGTAAGTTAATTGCATCTTTGTCTCATTTGACGCTTCATTAACCTTCTACCCGGTGTCTGCATGATATTACAACAGCCCATGCCACTTCAGTCATCTCTTACCTTTACAGCCTTGAGTTGTTTTTGAAGTGTTCATCCTGTAAAACTATCAATTATCTCAGTGCAAATACAGTGAAGACAGTTATTATCACGCTCTGAATGAGAAAGCCTGTTTTGCTTTTCAGGAAAACGGCACACCGCAACAAGTGGATTCTTCCAACAACTCGTCTCCTTACAGTCAACTCAGCAAGTAATCACAGGTGTGTGAGTCGTCTGACGTGAATGCCAGCAAACTGTTTATGTCAGCAGTTTTACTCCTGCATGGTAGTTATGTTAAAACCTAATACAAAGACACCAAAGGTTTATGTTATTAGTATTTGTTGTTAGTATTTGCTTTATAAATGGTTAGTTAATCAATAACTAAAGCTTTATAGATCAGTTATAAGACATTAACAAGAAGAATTTAAGGGTTAACAGTCTGTAAAAAGCCACAGTTTATGAAATCTTTATACAGGGTGCCTGTGTAGGTCAAAGATAATGAGATCCTAATGTTGCTGTTCATATTAGTTCATTGTTTTTATGTCACTTTGTGCAGTGGGCTGGTTGCTTGACCTGTGATATTGCTTGCAGCATTTTCAAGAATCGCTCATACAAACAACTTCACACTTGACACTGCACTTTCTTTAGTCACAAGTAATTTCCCCTTCAACTCGAGGATGCACAGGAAGGAAAGCAAGATAGCGTTTGCACGAAGCCCCCAAATCACTAAAGTCACCCCTGAAAAACACACTCAACACACCACAACTCACAGTCAGACACACCTGTGACATACACTTTGCTGAAGTATTCATTTTCATATTGACATGTTATGGTTCAGACACACCAAACCGACATCAGAGCTAGCGCCGATGAGAGCCGACTGTTGCATCGCCTCACATCGCATGTATATTGGCAAAAAAATTGCACATGAATACACCGCAAAGACTTTAGCCAACGGCCAACCAGCATTTGTGTTCTGCATCTGTATAAGAGTAAATAATGCTGCATTCACATGTAACTCTTTAGCTCGTATCTGACATGGGAATTCGAGTACATGAAGTCGTGAACTCGGAGCTCTCATAAAATTCCACTTACGAGGTTGTGAATACCACAAGAGGGGGGCGTTTATATGGACTCTTCTTGTGAACACTGTGAACACGACCCCATCTGAACGCATCATAACTCCACAGCAGCAGATGGCAGTATTCTGCAATGTACATTCAAAAAGGGAAACCTGGAAGACCGTCATGATGGTAGTTAGCTAGTTAGTTAGTTAATAAGTTTGTTTTGGTCTCACTCCCTCTAGACTTTTAGCCATTTGTTTACTTTCCTCACTTCCGTTTCTCTTCTTGTGCACTGAGCTGGACTTCCAATCAGAGCGATTTCATTCATTAACAGGCTCAAGGGCCGATAAGAGCCAATGGTGCAGGAAAATAGGGCGACAGACGCTCAATCATGGCCCAACATTGACATTGGCTTGGTGGGTCTAGGCCTTTTGTCGCTTGTGTTGCCATAACCACAATGATTATAAAGAAGAGGGAGGAGTTCATTAGCTTAATGCTGATAAGACAGAGATATTGATCATAGGTAATGCATAGATAGTGCTAACATTCAAATATCAAACAGTCTTTGTTCTCTGTCCCACTCAGTAACTTCACATTGCAGCAATCTTGGTGTCATTTTTGATCAAACCCTCAGTTTAGACAAACATGTGAATTCAGTGGCTCAATCCGGCTTCCACCATCTCAGAAATATCTTGAGAATCAGATCATTCCTTTCCAACAAACATCTGGAAACTGTTATTCATAACCAGTCATTAAAATTATTGCAATTCCTTGCTCCCTGGCATCAGTAAAAAATCCCTCTCGTGCCTCCAGCTCATCCAAAACTCTGCTGCCAGAATCTTCACTTGGACTAGAAAACATGACCCCATCACACCAATCCTGGCTTCCTGAGATCCTCAGATGCATCTTTTCTTGTTGTTCCGAGGTCTAGATTAATTCACAGAGGTGACAGAGTCTTTGCAGTGAGAGCTCCTTGACTTTGGAGTGACCTGCTTGAGGAGATCATGGCTTCAAACTCAGTGTCACCTTTCAAGTCATTACTGAAAACCTGCTTGTTAAAACTGCCTTTGGGTGATTTTAATTGCTTTATTATTGTGTGTGTTTACTCTGTTAGGTGCATTCTATTTGTGCTGCTTTCATCTTGTTTTATTGCTTTGTCTTTTATTCAGTTTTGTAAAGCACTTTGTAAATGTATTTATTTCTCAGTGACAGTGTGTATTGTAATCATAACTTGAAACATGCTAGAATAAGCCAGGAGGCTAGTTTTCATCTGCCGTCCCTGGACGTGTGTGAATTTGGCAGCCTAAGATCACGAAACAACTTCAACGAGACACGCTCAACTCTCTGCAGAGCCCTGAAGCCCCACCCCTGCCGTGCACAGAACCGTGCTCGCTTGTTTATTCAAAGTTCAATACTGAACATGTCGTGTATCCAACCTCTACCAACTTCAATACTGCACGTTCTTACATCCCCAAACACCCATCAGGTGTGAAGTAGATTGGACAAACGGTTCTAGAGATATGTGAAGGGACAGTCAGAGTCGTTGCTTTATACTTAAATGCTTCTGTTTTCTGTCTCTTTATTTTTCAGACAGATTCCCGCTCTGTGAGCCAGAGGGCAGGTGGGACTTTGCCGATGACATCACAGTGGTAACAGTCGCCGCCTTCTCTGATTGGACCAGATACGTGAACTTTTTTTGCACAGCCCAGTCGTTTGTGGTGGAAAATGAGGACAGTGTAAATGGACTCAAGCAGTTGGCTAATCACAGAAAAAAAAAACAAGAATTATTTTTGTTAAGAAACAACATGCTCTTCTTTTTCTCTTTTTCAAGGATTCTCAAACAAATGCCAGAGGACCCCCTCCCCCTCCCCTCCACCTCACCTCCCCTCACCGCTCCTCCCCCAGTATGATGTGATATTAAAATGCATGAGATTGAGATAGTCCCCCCCCTCCCTCCGAGGTTTCTATGATTTTATAGTTTCTTTATTTGTGATATATGATAAAAAAAACTTACAAAACCCTGTTTGCACTGAAGTTTCAGAATATCCTCATTTTGGTTTTCAAAGTCGCCGCAGAATATCTCACAAAATCAATTAATGTTCAACTGCACTAGACAGCTGATACAGGTGACCATTTCATTAGGAAATTAATAAATTTATTATTGGAAACGGTGCCTTCCTTACGTCACATCAAACATTCTCCAACATTTTCTCATCAAACTTGATCAGGTGTCTTATTTCTATCTGACTGATCAAATATGTGTGTGTGAAATCATGGAGATTTCCATTGAGTGTTTCGCTATCTAGTCTTCTGGTAGCAATAAAGACAATGAGAGTCCCACGGCAATACTGAGAAAAAAGAACGGTGACAAACTCAGAGCAAGGTAACTCCTTACTTTCCCTCTATCCTTTTTTTTTTATCCTCAAGACATGACATGAAAAAAAAGAGCTGTACTTTTATGAAATTACAAGTTTTACACCCAATGGACATCTTTTAGGAGGGTTTTTTTTTCTCTTGTGGTCAGTTTGACCAGTGATCTACCTCATGGTTCTGCCGGAGTCTGCTGGTGTCATGGGGTTTGCAGGTAAAGCCCCCTTTGTTCAGCAGAGTGGACGAAGCAGAACAAAAGCCACGCTCAGGAGCTGGCTAAATAGGACTTCTGCCCGTTTGTCTCCCACATGCAGCATTTCTCTTCCTGATCTGCAAAGAAACATTGTGCTTTTGCTTCATCTTTATTTGTCATTGCTTCTGTTCTGGTGTTTCTTTTTCTCAACATGATGAGCGCTGTTCAGTTGTGAAGCTCCATTTTTGAGATTCAGAGTACGAAAACTACTAGCTCCTCCTCGAAATAGTTGGTTTACAATGTGCTTGAAACAAATGAATGCAGGCTTAGTGCATTTATTTTGTACATTCTTCTGCCTTTGACATTCTAGACAGATCTTAGATGACTCACCACTTTCCCTTACCTTTTCTCTTTTTCCTTTTAAAAAGACTTAAAGTCTTTCTTTGGTTACAACGCTACTGTAAAGCTCTTCAAAAGCAGCGTTTGAGGATTAGCCTGATTTTGGCCTTTTGGTTATATAACAGCTTAACAGTGTACATGCCAGGCAATTTGGATCTCAAGTCTTGCCTTGTGCAAAATAAATACAACAATCATGTGTGAGGTACGTAAAAAAAACAGCAGTACTTCATTGGAATTTGGTGGTAATTGAAATCACATGACACTGACAGCATGTATTTTAAAGGTTGTAAGATTTGTAAATTATAAACATCCAGGGCCAAAAGTGAAAAATATGTGAGTTTTATTCTTTGCTTTGCTTTTGTTTTTCTTTAAAAAGATGATTTCTGATGTAAGAAACTCTACACTACTATGAGATGAAAAAAAAAATAGGGTCAAAGCTGTATGATCGTGGTGCTTCTCCCCGGTCGACAGTAATATGGCAGTAAATGCTCACCTTCTGAAAATACAAGCAGTAACCTGCTTGCGTGTACTTTCCCATTCTGAACATTTGTTGCTCGAAAAATGTAAAAATGAAAGACAAAAAAATATCTTGTACATGTTATCCTCATTGCTTCCCCCGTTGCCTTCAACTGACTCTCAAACAAACTTCTCCTTACGCTCTCCTTTGAAAACATTGGAATAAAAACAGTGCTGAATAAAAGGCTCTTTCTCAGACACGACTCCTGTCTCTTTAATTGACTGGTCTGTTATGTGTGTCTAAGTTTAAAGGATAATTCTGGTGTTATTCTGTATTTTTCTTATTGTTATCAAATCCCACGAAAAAAACAATAATCCATTCATCTATCTCTGAGTACTTTCCAACCTGTCTGAGGCATTCATGCCCAATAATCTGTACTGTAAACATGAACTGTAAAATGTAGTTTCATTTTGTTTTAAAAGCTTAATCATTTCCTAAAATAGCTGGCCACCAACAGGAGTAAATATACCATTTTTCGGAACTACTTTTAGCTGCAGATTAACACATAATTGGTGCTCTATTGAGTGTTTACATCAGCAGGGCAGTGTTTGTGGGACTGACTCCAAAAAAAGTACAGTGCTCATCTTTATTGCTATAAAGGAACATGTCATTCAATGTGGCAGATTGATGTGTTTTCAATAGTTTTTGGACAACAATGGAGCTCAGTGGCACTGAGAGATTAGCTTGTTTACTTCCTAGTGAGATAAATTCTGTGGTAGTTTTAGTCTTTTTGGGGAATGTTTGACAGTAAAAGAAAAGAAAATACAATATCACCAGCCTTATCCTTCATGATCAAGCTAACTGATATCATAGCATTGATTGTGGCAAGTTTAAAGATTTAGAGATTTAAAAGTGTACTGCAGCAGTTTAGTATTGCACTGTCTTACACTGGAGGGACTCAGATGGACAGATTAAAAAATTAAAGGTCAAAATCGATGCAGCAGAGGCCGAGATATCCCGATCTTAAAATCCCTCTTCTGGCTCAAACCACAGAAGTGTCGAATTCTATAGTTTCCATATTGTAAGTTTCACTTTAGAAAGCAGTGTTTTTTGACAATGCTCAGCTTGTCGTGGAGGGGCTGCTAAATGCAAAAACACGATCTGGAGCCAGTGTTTAGAAATATGGCAGTGCAACATGGTGGACTCTGTAGATATAAACAGCCCATTCTGAGGGAATGAAAAAAACAGATTGCTATTTTCAGATGATCATATACTAAAGAAAACACGCTAATTAAATTATATTCCATTTCTGCCAATGTATCTGCATTCCTGGTCACCTGCTTTTTTTCTGCATGCCCTATCGTTGAGCCCTCAGTTAGTAATTTTCCATTCACTTACGCCCACTTCATAGAGGCGACTCGGTTCACCTGTTCCTCATTACTCACAGCCAGCATATATACCTCTGCCTCACACACACTCGTTGCCAGATTGTTTCTCAATATTCATGCAAGACTCTCCAGCACTTTATTCCAGACTGATTTCCCATTGCCAACCTTGCCTGCCTGCTTCATCTGATTCATGGTGATTGCCTAAGCCAGGGGTGTCCAAACTTTTTTGAATGGGGGCCAGACAAAACAACGTGAAAATACCTGGGAGCCAACTGATTCTCGCATCAATTGTTTGTTTGTTTTTTTTAAAAAAAGGGAGACAATTGCAACCATTTTTATCTTTTAATGAACCATTACTACTTGATGCCTGTCAACAAACTGTATGATAGTCCTATCATTGTGAGGTAAGGGGTAAAAATGTGAAGTGATCTTGCTTGATTAACCATTATTGTGCAAAGGGCCACATATGGTATATTTTGAAAGTCAAGCCAAGGGCCAATTAAAATTGGTCTGCGGGCCACAATTGGCCCCAAGGCCAGACTTTGGACATGCCTGGCCTAAGCCTTCTGTCCCTGATCACAAGCTACTACATCCTTGGCTCCAGTTTGCCTGTGGCTGCTTGGTGTTTCCATCCAATGACGACGTTACAGTGTGAGTGTTCCAGTCTGCTTAACTGTGGTTTCCCGCAATCCACAGATTTTCACTGTGTTGCCACACTAGCCATTGTGTGAATGTGTCCTGTGAGTATTTACCTACTGGCTTCTCCCTGCGCCTAGCCTTGTCAGCCTGTCCCCTACCGGTTCTTCTGCTTGGACTGTGTACTTAACCTGGTTTCAGATTTTCTGCCTCCTCTACTACTGTGACCTCCCTGTGTCAGCTTACCGGCTTCAAACCTAAGGACCAACCCTAAACCTAACAAGCTTCTAGTGGTCTGGACCACTCTGCAGAGGGAAGGATGGCGAGGCGTTCGGGTACCGTTCACCAATGATGGCTTTTTTGCAGTCTTCACCACAGAACAATAAACATGGCCTTCTCATGAGGTTGAACAGCAGCCTTGAGTTTATCTAGATACCTAATTCTGCTGACTATCATCATGATTTGCTGCATGCGTCTTCATCATGACACCCCAACAGAGCTGCTTCCCTCTGTATACACATCGAAGCGCACGTCACACCCTCACAGGTTACCCACAAGGCCACCGCCCTTAAATCGGAAAAAAGAAAGGGGTGAGCCGGTGACACTATTTCTCCTGCCTGCTCCTCCATGATATCATTGCCACTTATTAAACTGAACTGTGTTTGTAGTTGGGCTAACACCACTGTTCTATCATCTGCCTCTCAGCCCGCTTTGGTTCCCAAACCAACCGACTACTGAGGACTTTGTGGAGGAGCCTTACTGGAGCGTTGAACTGTACTGTGTGCCATTTACAATTGTTTTTGGGTCCTAATACCACCCATTGTAATGTCCTAAACCCTGCACACTTAATCTTTAACAGCAAAACTATATCAAAACATCCATTTAGAAACTCTCACACAACTTAAGCAAAATAATCCAGGGCTGGATCACATACTTGATCAGGCACGTTACTTGTCTGTGCGTGAAACTGTTAATTTGGAAGTGTTTTAGATATTTGGGTTTTAGTGAAAATGCATATGGGAAGTACTGAATAAATGATACTTGGATTATAAGTTCACAGAGTTAAGAATTTGTAAATGGATGTTTACCCCGTTTACCCCGACCCCGATGTGGGTGAAGTATTCCTTTAAATCAGTGACGTGCCCCTTTAAGACTTTTAACAGGCAAACAACAAACCACAAACTAATCATTTATCCACAATCAACAGCAAAACAAAAATGAAAATAAAGATAAATGGAGATACCAACAATCTCAAACTCTGGCAAACGTTAGGCATCAAAATGGCACCTTTAAACAAGTTGACTGTCCAGTATCCTCACTGATAATTAGACTGTGCCGATTATCTGGCAGCAGAGGGCGCTGTGAGCCAAAGCTGTCCAGCCTTATTTGAAAGCAGAACAAATTATACAGCTTGGTTATCTGTTATATGTCTGATCTTATGTATCCAACTTAAGATGGATCAGATGAGCAACAAGTGCAGCATGTGTGTGCTCATGCCGCAGCCCTTTCCTGCTCTATTTCAGGCACACAGCCTTTGTAGTTTCACTGTCATACCGGATCTCCCTTCTTAAGCTGAGACTAATGCAGCTGATCCTAGAGACATAAAGGCACCATGCCTCCATCTCTTACTAGTCAGAGGGATCAATGTTAGCCATCACACCCACTGTCAGCTCCCAACACACAACCCAGACAACCCCAACTCCAGGAATATACATACATGTCCCATGTCGCACCCACACACACACGTCAATCAAGTATTGTGAAGGCAGCAACCCTTTGAACATAAGATACGCCAAGCAGATCTGCCTCTCTCTTTCCTCTCATCCACTCTCTGTCTCTCCTTTAATTCTCCACAGCTGAGGGGACACATGGCACTGATCCCTTGAGAAGGCCCAAGGTCAGACTTGGGGCACAGACGCTAAGAGGGGAGGCCTGCTTCAGTATCCAGTATCATTCATTTAGTGTGATACATGTCAGCAATTCAACACATGTGGTAGTGTAGTAGTAGTTGATGTGGTGGGTTTACTACTAGGTGTATGGGTAGATTACTGAGGAGGAAGTGGATATACTTTCATATATATTGCAATGGCTTTTTGGCTGATAGGTAGGTATACTGTAAACAACCAGAAGAAGAGGCGAGTAAATTATTTCAATGGTTAAATTAACCTAAAGGAGATGGTCAAATAAACAGCATACTGCAATTTAATCATCAGTGTAGGCCTGAAACTAATGATCATTGTCATTATCAATTAATCTGCAGATTGTTTATTTTCTTGATTAATTGATTGGTTAATAAAATGTGTTTGTTATCTGACTGCCTGAATAATACCAGCGGTGGAAGTCAATTAAGTGTGTTTACTCAAGTACTACTTCAATGAACACTTCGAGTACTTAATTTCAGTTCCAGTCTACTCCACTATTCTTCACAGGGAAATATTGTACTTCTTCCTCCACAGCTTTAGTCGCTTTACAAACAAAGATTTTTCTATATACAAAATACATGAAGAGCTTAAAAATTCAATGCAATGTTATAAATCAAACTAGCCAGTGGTGTTGCTTCAATTCCTTGATGATGGAATAAAAATAACCCTGACTATTGGTTGGACAAAACAGGCACTGTGATGATGTCACTTTGAGCTCTGGGTAATTATGACAGCATTTTTCACTATTTTCTGAATTCAAACAAACCAAACAATTAATTGATTAACTGAGAAAATAATCAGGAGATCAATCCATACTGAAATTAATCATTAGTTGCAGTATGAAATAGTTAAGCATTAGCTCCACCTCAACCATAATGCATTACATACACATGAATGACACATGCAAAAATAACACTAATGCATTACACATAATTCTCTGATAATATAACTGTGAAACAGTGACAGAGGACATTTTTCTGCATTGTAAGTACTTTTACTTCTAATAATTCTAATTTAAGTAAATTTTCCTCATTATACTTTTAGTTAAGTGAAGGATCTGAATATTTCCACCACTGAACGGCTCCTGAGCTCTGCCTGATGAGGAACCACTATGGATCGAAATATTGTCTGTTGCATAAGTCTTGCTACAGTTACCCTTCCTCATATTTTGGCACACGAATGCTATCAATGCAGGAACCACATGGGTTAACTATGGACTTTGTTTATGTGGTGTTTAGTGTATTGCTGTAATTTGAGTATAAGAATGTTAGTTATAAATACTGTTGCTTGACTTAAAAGTCACTCATTAAGAAGTAGAGTCATTTCCGTTAAAGTCATTTTAAAATATCAGTCAAAAACAAGCTACAGATACGCTGCTTGGGCTGTTCTTTCTTAGCTCATGAAAAATCCAGTCATGCTTTTCAAAGAACAATTATAATATTTCTCTGTTCATAGGACTCTGTTGCATGTCTGTTCATCCAGAAAAAGGGATACAGGATATATCCTCTGTTGCTTTTCTTGAGGTTTCTTTGTCATACTTAAAGGGTTTTTTGGGTAATGTTTTTATGGCCGCGAATGCAGCACGACTCAAGGTATGGCAATATCAGTCAGTCTATTACTTTGGTCCACCCTGAATTATCTAAACCATGAAATTTTTGGACAGACACTTATGATCCCCAGATGATGAATCCCAGTAGAGAGCTGCAAGAGTTTTTTTTCTTGTGGGCCAACCTGTAAGTTACCATTGCCCTGGTTCCCTCAACTTTTAACCCAATAATCTGCAATTTTGGATCACTGCAGAAAATAAGATCTGTGGCATCCAAACGTTTCTTATTCAGCAGGATAATCTTCACAAATTAACACCACTTTAATTATTTTTGCGGTGTGAATGCAATCGCCAGAAGTAAACAAACAAACTTCACTACAGTTGCATGACTTAACGTCGCGACCACAACAAAGCTGTAAAGTCGTGTTCAGTGTGTTGACACTCTGTAGTCAAGTTTAGCCACTTGTTAGCAACTGCCTTACGGTTCAGAATTCACTAGTGGCACATTTACTGATGTGATTTATAGTTGAAGAACGAAAAAATGACAGTCTCTTAACTTGTGCCACAGCCCTTATTTCAGGCATCTAGCCAAAAACCCACTGACTTCAAGACGAGGGAACTGGAAGTGGAATACTAACTAATCTCAGGCTAATCTTTCAGGGCTCACCCCTGACCCAATTTATGACTTGAGTGATTTAGACTTTTTCTGTTGCAATACCACAAGGTTGAATTTGTAGTTCATTTATGCGTTGTCTCTATATCAGTGGATTGCTGTGAAATTTGGAAGATGCAGTCAGTGTCCCCAGAGGCTGAACTGTTTTCTCTCACAACAACACCTGATCAAAATTTCTTTTTGTCCAGTACTTTGGTTTATGACCAATTACCTGCAGAATTAATGAAATTCCCATCTGCCTCAGCTGAGTTTAGTGCTAATTATAAAATGTCAGCATGCTAAAATGCTAAACTATGACGGTGACCACCTTGGTAAATGTTATACCTGCTAAACATAAACATGCTACCATTATCATTGTGAGTATGTTAGCATGCTGAGGTGAGCATTTAGCTCAAGTATATTAGCATGACTGTAGCCTGCAGATTACAGAGGAAAAAATCTGATTTGGGGGCTGTGTAATCCTTGATTTTTTTGTAGTGCAGGCCTCTGCTCTATTGTTTTGTTCCACTCACAAATGCATGTATGTGTGCACCTGCATTCCAGCCATACTTCTCTAAGAACGAGGCTGTATTACAGTACGGGCACTCCTTTTCTCAGCTCCCTCCTCTTCCTCCTCCTCCTCACTGCAGGAAGTAATTGAACTTGAGCAAGCATGTGCACACACACGCGCACACATGCGCACACACACACACACACACACGCACACACACACACACACACGCGCGCGCACACACACACACACACACACACACACACACACACACACAAAACAAATCCCAAAGTCCATTACTTTGAGTCAGGAGTGTTGTGCTGCAGTTCACACCAGCTTTAGCCTCTAGAGCGCAACACTATCACATCAGTCAGGTCGTCTCTTAATAAAGAAGCTGGCTCCTGTGGAGGTCTCGCAGCCAGCAGTTGCTACTGTCACTCATTATCATCACAGCCTCCCCCTGCACACACACACACACACATACACACACACACACACATCCACACACATACGGGCAAGTTTGAGCTTGTGCAAACACCCACACATGACCCCAGTATGCATGCACACACACTCAGCCACTTGCAGACGCACACACACACATACACACACACAAAAGCACACATGAGCCAAGGAGCATGGGCAGCAGGGTCACCCTAGCGCCATGCTTCATAAAGGGCGCCGTTACAATAGGTTTACTGTTACTCTGATGACTGCTGGGATACAATAGGACTGAATGTACTGGCCTGATGCTCCTCCATTTCTCTCCAGTTTTCACTTGATGACAAGGAAGACAGACTGAGACGAGACAGCATGATATCAGAGGACGCCCCTGAAGGTGAGTTGGCTCATTGCAGCATTATGTGTACTTCCATTTCTATGCATAGTAAATGTGTGGTGCTGAGAGAGAGGTATGTGGGAGAATATTTCTGAATTTCTGATGAGACTGATTCTCTTTAAAAATCATGTCATGATGTGTGTTTCAGACACTACTGTCAGATTTACTTCATTTCCGTGAAACTTAACTGAAAGGCAACAGGTTTTAAATTTTGATTAAAGTCATGTTGAAGTGTATGGTGCAACTGTGGCACCTTATTACACCTAAAGCATCTATAATCCACTTGATCACGCATTCATGCAGGACATGAAATCACCTAAGAAATGAGTGGTTACAAAAAACAGTGTTTGATTGCATCATGCTGTGATATTTCTTGAGAAATTCAGAAAATAATGACAAGCTTGGTGGAGGAGAAGAGAGGAGAGGAGAATAGAGGAGAAGAGAGGAGACTGGCAGGCGCAAAACGAAAGGAAGCGAGCCAAAGGAGGTACAAATGAAATGGCAATTTCACAGACCCTCACTTCAAGAGGGCTACTGGGTAAGGTGGATCAAACTACAGAGAGCTGAGGTGAGAAGGGGATGTCATTAAAAGAAGAAAGGAGGAGAAAAAGAAGAGAGGGGTGAGAGGGATTAGTGTAAGAGGGGCGGAGGTGGGGTTTGGTTTGGGGTGACAGATGGGACTCACCCAGATCCAGTGGGGTGTGGTGCTGAATTGTGAGATTCCACAGAGTTGGGACAAGCAACGATATTTGCACTGCAGCTGTCAATGATTCAACACCTACGCAGCTCCACCCTCCTCCCCCCCATCTCACACACACACACACACACACACACACACACATGCACACACTCACACTCATATTTTATGTCTTGAGATAGGCCTGCATGCTCGGGTTTGTCTTGAGTCAATCATCAAGTTGAAAACATTCTTGTGAGACAGTGACATGATTCACGTTCTTGTGTCGTTAAAGATTAAGAAAATCTTCTGTTATGGTGTCTGTGGGGTATACAGGCTATATTTGCTTATGGCGTGGTGTGTCTGTATTTTATTATTCCCGCTCAGTCAGAGTTTAATGATTAAGCTGTTTTATGAGAGTCAAGTATGACATAAGAATATGATGTTCCACATTCAAAGTTCTACTTTAAACAAAATACAGAAGGATTCAAAAGTAGAAGTACTCATTCTGAAATGTCAGAAGTGTATTGGTTCATGATAAGAGCTAGTTTTAACTTCTCTATGTACAGTTTGGAGGTTCAGTCCAGCGGCTTCCAGCCCAGGGGTCAGGCCTCTCCAAAAGGTCACACAATAAATCTGCCTTTTATGTGAAATATTGGATAATTTAACCTCTGTGGGCCTCCTGCTGTTATTTAAATGAAACCACCTGAGAGGTTTAGAGGTGAAAAGTCTATTTGGTGGAACTGCTAACAAATCATAGACACAAGAGCTTAGGTTTTGTTTCAACACTGGAGGGGGTGGACACAAGTGAAACAGCAGTTTGGGGTCCTCCTCTGAAAAATGTTGACCGCCAAGCGCCTGCACCCTTCATGGTGGAAATGTCTTTAATTTCGTCAAATTAAGAGACTTCTGCTACTTTCATGTTTTTATTGGAGGGGACAAATGCACATGGTTTAAATATTTGGGGGGACGTGTCTCCTGCATTGCCCCTGAAATCTCTGCATATGCATAGACATCTGAAACGTGACAAGGAGGCCCCAACAGCTTTTTAGAAAGGAGTCACAAGGCATAAACGTGAACCACTGGTTCACTAAATGTAGTAGGGTCAATGTATGTAGAATGTAGAATAAATGTAATAGAGTAAAAAGTACAATATTCATCTCTGACATGTAGTGAAATTAAGGTATAAAGTGGCAAAAAATTGGACAGGCCTTTAATTCCATTCACACAAAACTGTTGCTCAGGAAATACAAGCAAATTGTTTATTTAAACCAGTATAAATATTACTTGTATAAAAACCAGGCTTTGAATAACATATCAATTATGCTATGACACTTGTTTCATGGCACCTGAGGATAACGGCACCTGGCATACTGACGCAACACAACTTTATCCTGTTAAAACAATATGCACAACTTGGATTAATTTTTATGAGAAACACTTTAGATTCTTTTGATCGGTGGACCCTTACAGACTAAAGGAATATTAATAACTTACCAGGTGGTCAAGGACTGGACACATATTCTGACTTTATAACAGCAGTCTCAACTAGTTTTTTCGTCATGCCAGTAAATCTGAATGACTTCAGGTCTTCTCTGGTTTCAGTAAAATGTAGCATCTCCATATTGACAAATGTCTTAACATTTATATTTGTATGTGTGATCTTAACAGCTAACTAACTTTAGCTCAAGTGGGTAGTCAACAATACGGTTTTATACATCCCAAAAACTTGGGTGGCAACCAGACCAGGCGTCTTATTGAGACAGGCGTTTATTTGTCAAAATGTGTAGTTACACTGGCCTAGTAGAAGGGACTGGGTGTTTAATTGGGACTAGGCTTTTAATTGAAGTTTTTTTCAAGTGACAACTTGAAATATAAAAATACAATGGGATATAATGCAGTAAGGCGCTCTGGCATTCTGAGTCAAGACACATGTAGGCACGATCCTGCACAATGGATCATGTGTGCTGTCATGTTCACAGATTGAGAGAGAGAATGGAAAACTTGGACAAGAATAAATTGTTAACGTTAATACTGCACATGCAAGGGCATGTGAAATGGAGGGTTTGGGGTCCTCTGCCAGAAAATTTTGAGCACCAAACACTTAATTTACTGCATCCAATGTATGTGCACCTATCTGTGCCTTTTCTGCATGATTGTGTATATGTCTTTAATTTTGTCAGAATAAAAGTCCTCTGCTACTTTCATGCACATGTTTTAAACATTGATCTCACCCCCACCTGAAATCTACTTTCCATCACTATCACTTGCCTATTAATAATTAATATCTACTTTATTTTATTCCACAATTTGTTTTCTGTTTAATCTAAAGTAACTTCTAGATTACAAATTAGTTAGGGGCCAGTATGGCACATGGCTTTGATTTCTCCTCGCGCCAGCCTCGCTTTCTCACCTGGACGGAAGTGCACATAAAAGGCAGCGCAGGTAAAGGCAGCCTCCTCCTCCTCCCCCTCCTCCTCCTCCTCCTCTCTCCAGGTAGCGCGGCGCTCTCCTCTGTACTCCACTTTCGGCTGAGCCGTGGAGGCATGACGTTGGATAAGGTTCACTCCTGTAAATATGAGACAACTTAATATATTCTTCTTCTGTTTCCTCATAACCAGTAACCTCACGGACTAATGGGGCTTATACTGCTGAGCCTGATTCTTCGGTACTGGATCAACACCGTGGAGGGTAAGCAGGACTCAAAATCAAGGGCAACACGTTTATGAAGCGCTGACAAAGAGTTACAGTGACTCAAGAGCAACACCATAAAGGCTGTGATGGTATTTATTACTGGTGAATGGCCTTTTTTTATGAAAGTGTTTTATTATTTTCAACTACACTTTATCATATAGTTAATACATGTATCACACCTTTGATTCATCTAATTTGTTTACTCTTGATCAGGTTCAAACACCTTTGAAAAATCTGATCTCCTCCCTGAGAGACTTTTAATTGTTGCAGGAAACAGGTCGATGTTGACACTAACTGTGCACTGTGCTCATGTGTGCTGCAGGATCATGTTCAGCTGGCACCGCTGTGACTTGTGATGAGTGTCTGCAGCTCAGTTCCCACTGTGCCTGGTGCACGCAGGAGGTAAGCTGCCTGGTTTGCATTCATGGAAATGCAACATATAAGCAGATGACCATGATGCATTCAAAAAAATGTATGGTTTTTGGGCCACAGGCGAGCAAAATGGCATTTCTTGTTTGGATTCTACACCTGGTGATGATAATATTACTAGATATTTTATGGCATACTTTAAAACAGTCTTCATCTGCAAACATGTGACTGTTTCCTCCATCTGCAGAATTTCACAGACTGGTTCTCAGTCAGCAAAAGATGCGACACACTGGATATCTTGCTAGAAAAGGGATGTGCCAAGGACCAGCTGGAGTTCCCGGTTTCCAAAGGCCAAATCCTGCAGGATCGCCCACTCGGGAAGAAAACAGGCAACGTTAACAGCACTCAGATCTCCCCACAGAAAATGGCACTCAAGTTACGACCTGGTACGCAACCCAGCACATTCTGATTTGATGAAGCGGTTCCTCGTTTTCAGGAGGAATGATGGTAACTAAGGTGTTGATTCTGTTTCTGCACAGGCAGTCAGATGACTTTCCAGGTCAAGATTCAACACACGGAGGACTATCCTGTGGACATCTACTACCTGATGGACCTCTCTGCGTCCATGATCGACGATCTCAAGATGATCAAAGACTTGGGCTCCACTCTGTCTAAAGAGATGGCCACCCTCACCAGTAAATTTCGAATGGGCTTTGGCTCTTTTGTGGAGAAACCTGTCCTGCCTTTCATCAAGATCACAGAAGAGGAGCTGGCCAACCCCTGCAGGTATTACAATAACAAGACCAAAGACTTTTACAACATCATTTCTCTGATGTTTTAATTTGTCATTTGGTATCTCAGAGAATCTTACCTTTAAATCTGTTTGACCTCTGCTGGGTTGCAGCGGCGTAGGCTCGGACTGCCTGCCGGCGTTTGGCTACAAACACGTCCTGTCTCTGACAAGCAGCACTGAGAAGTTCAATGAGATTATCAAAATGCAGCGTGTATCTGCAAATATTGACGTGCCAGAGTGTGGCTTTGACGCTGTCATGCAGGCAGCTGTTTGTGGGGTAAGATTTTGTGTTTGAAATATCTCAAAGATATACATTTAAGTTTGTGATTCTGTCTCGTCAACTTGTATAAAAAGGAGGATAAGTAACATGATGTGTCTCCTGATAGGACAAGATAGGCTGGAGGAATGATTCCATGCGTTTGCTGGTGTTTGTCAGTGACGCTGACTCACACTTCGGGATGGACAGCAAGATGGCCGGCATCGTGATTCCCAACGATGGGCAGTGTCACCTGGATGCCAATAACGAATACTCCATGTCCACAGTGCAGGTGAGTCCATCTTTAGAGAGACTATTTGTTCTTCTCGTTTGCATTGTGCAGTGATAGCATTGTTTTACAAGTCACAAGTAAGTCTTAAGTCTTTGCACTCAAATTTTAAGTCATGTCCCAAGTCCTAAACTTTGAGTTTCAAGTCCTAAACAAGTCATAATGCGTTCTTCAATAAATATAATGCCATTTTAGCAACAAAGTAATAACATTTTAAATTTACAAATATCATGTTTACTTTCAAAAGTTCCTTTTTATTTGTTAAAACAAGTTTGTTGCAAGTTGTCTGTAATTTTAGACCCACATGTTTATCATACTGTCCTTTACATGTTATACACCATGTAGTTTTTGTACAGGAATTAGATTATCATTCACATTCATTCTATGTGTGGCCCTGTAATAGACTGGCGACCTGTCCAGGGTGTACCCAGACTCTCACCCAGTGTCAGCTGGCATAGACTCCAGCCCCCCCGCGGCCCTTAACAGGATAAGCCGTTACGGAAAATAAATGACTGAATTAAATTATCTCTGGTATCTTTTTTTTTATGCCAATCATTAACGTAACGCGACTGGATGGTGTCCGATTGGTTCAAACAAAGTGGATCATCAGAGGAATTAAGTGTCGACTTGCTGGGAATGACCAGCGTTAACGTTAGCTGATTCAGGGAAATGAACTGAGTCCTGACACACTTTTTAAAACAACACACTTTTCCATCTTTGGGCTTGGTGGAATATATCAAGTATTTTCAAGACACAAGGCTCAAGCCCAAATGAAGTCCTGAGTCATTTTTGTTAGAGTCCAAGTCAAGTCTGAAGTCATCGAATTTGTGACTCGTCATATGACCCGAGCCTGAACCTCTGCTTCTTTGATTTCAGTTTCATGTCTTTAATTCATTTCATTAGTCATTTTAGGGTCTGCTGTGATGACTCATCACTTTACAGCACACTCATTCTTTACATTTCCCCACCTCTTTCCCAGGAGTATCCAACGCTCGGTCAGCTGATTGATAAGGTGCTGGAGAACAATATCTTACTAATATTTGCTGTGACAGAGCATCAGGAACCCATCTATAAGGTAATTGTTTTTTCGAAATGTATTGACTTCTTTACAGTAGAATATCTCGGAACTAGAGAACTCAAAACATGCAGGTGTTTGTGTTTGTGTGTGTGCACAATGTTTACTGAGGTTAGCATATTTATTCATGGAGCTGCATTCTCATTCAGCCTGTTCGAACTAGCCCTCTTTTCTTCCCTTGAATTTTTTCTGTGCTTTTCTTCGAGCCAAGTCTGCCCACATTTCTAACAGCAACTTTAATGTTTATCTGTTGGTTGTTGTTTTTTTTTTCTCACAGAACTATGCAAATCTCATACCTGGCGCCACAGTTGGAGTCCTGGCGACAGATTCGCGGAACATCCTGGAACTGATTGTAACAGCATACAAAGTAAATAAACAGTCTTGGTGATCTGGTTGTGCGGGCGGGCTGTGTGTGTGTGTGTGTGTGTGTGTGTGTGTGTGTGCAGGCACAGGTCATAAGAAATAAGACAGAAAACACCTGCTGTTATAAAACCAGTGAACCTGTTTAAATGAAGTGTTTTAGGCTTGAGCCAGAGTTTAAACCAAAACATTTTAACGTACAGCATGCATGACTTAACCCTCTATACATCCTCTAGACATTATCTCTGCCTTCTCCATTCCTTCCCATTCTCTTGCCTCTCCTCTTTCGTTGTCTTCTATTCCATTTTTCCCCCCACCACCCGGTGCTTTGCATCAGCATGTTTGACAGCAAGTCTCTGCTTGTCTCAGCTGTTTGATCTCCGCGCTCCTCCTGACTCTGACTTGCTCTTTCTTCCTTACTCTCTCTCTGTCTTTCTCTGTCTGCCTACCTCTTGCGTTCTGTCTGTAAATCCCCCCTGGCGGCGGTAACTGGAGGCAAGTCCTCTAATTACTTCATCACTTATGTCATTTACACCCATTTTTAGCCTCTGCCACGTTAACCACACTGAAAAGAGGAGCCCTTATCATACGGATTGTACAGAGGTGTGGTTCTGAGGGGAAATAAAATACAAACAGAGGGATATTTAGTGATGGAAGACACATGATTAGTATTTATACTTACCTTCAGTTTTGGGTTAATGTGTGCTGCTCAGTGGATATATATTTTAGCCACCCAGCTTTAAATTACCTTTAACATATTTACTGAATAACAGTAAAGTCTTTTGAATCCGTTCTTTGCTTTAATCCGTCTTTAAATTGGGTGTATCCCGTACACGTCCCCGTGTTTTCTCCTCCTTAGCAACACTGAAGGCACAGTACAATTACAGGCCTACAGGAAACACACAATTAACCCTCTGTTAGCAACCAGACAGTCCGTCACAGAGTTCATTAGTCAGTCAAACACAGCCTTTCCTGCAGTTGAGGTTGGCTGTCGCTCTGTCCTCAGGTGCTTTGTACAGCCCAGCACACCTGGGATGATGACTCACCTAAAAAGAGAGAGCAAGATAGGAGGGTTCAAAAAGCCTCAGCACGCTACAGGTCAGCGCAGGGTGAAAGTGTAATTCCCCTTAAAGCTCTGGAAATTCCTCTTCATGACAATTGAAGTCAGTATACTGATTCGATGGGGGTTTAGAACAGGTTGCTCATTACCTGGTCTGTGCTGCCAACTGTGTTTCCTTACAAGGTGCTGAAATGTATTTGCACTGTTTTCCAGGAACTACGATCAGAGATTGAACTAGAGGTCCTTGGAGACACAGAGGAGCTCCAGATGTCTTTTACAGCCATTTGTCCAAATGGGACCGTCCTCACTGATCTGAAACACTGCTCCAACATCAAACCTGGAGAGACGGTCAGTTGTTTGGCTCTAAACTGCCCTTTGTATTTGTGGAACACCCTTTACACAGGCTAGTGCAGTTCAAAGTGCTTTACAGGTGACTGACAAACTGATAAGAGTATAAAGGGAAATCGCAGTATTGCCCCATGTCTTTGTGTCTAAGTGGTTAATGGTAACAACAGTTTTTAAATTTGGTACAGTATTGCAGCCACAGCAGTGAAATGCAATGTAATCTCTATGGGCAATTGTGCAAAGTTAATTTACATCCAATAAAGTGCTTGTTTTGGCCACTGACAGGATCATATTGTGTCTGACAACATTACAGACAAGAGAATACAGAAAAATGAAGTGTTTTTCTTTACCTTTCATTGGTCTGGTCTGTTTCGTAGTGTGTATAACCAAGTCTCGATCATAGAGAAACCCTGTTCTGAAATCTTGATGACTCGATAAAAGCTGCTGCACAGAAGGTTTTTGTCACCTAGGATTCACTAAAAGTTTCGACAGAGGACTTGTGAGACCATTGTGGTTTACATATTAAAAGCATTTTAGAGAAGACTGGCGTTAGACTGCGTGCCGATTTAAGGACTTGGAAAAGAATTTTAAAATTATTACAAGAATTTCCAGGCAACTGAGAAAAAGACAAAGACGGCTCAAAGTACTGAATCTATTCTGCCTGATTGGGTAGACCAGATAGGAATGCATTACAAGAGTCAAGCCTGCACATCAGTGTTTCTCAGAGAGAGAAATAGTCAATCTTTAGCTATATGTTTTACAGATAATAAAAAAATCTAATTTGATAATATTCACTATATACAATAAACCTTCAGGTTCAGTTTTTAGTCAATGATGACACCAGCATTACGAGCCTATTGGCCAGGCGTAACTCTCAGGACTGTAAACACAGTTATGAGGTCATTTACTCCCCCAGCCGCACCACCTGTAATTGATAGTTCAGTTTTATCCTTTTTTGAGATGTGAAAGTGGGTCCTGTGTGACCGGGAGACGCCGGCATGTAAAGCTGCATTTGCTCTCTATTTCATGTAGAGCTGCAGTGATTAGTTAATTAGTTGTGAAGACGAACATTAGAAAATCAGTTATGTCAAATGTTCTTTTTCTACGTTCTTTTCCTTGTCTTATGTGGTAGTAAACTGATTATGTGTGGATTTTTTGATAATGTTGGCAATGTGATGACAGCATCTTGGACTGTGGGAAATTATAATTGTTATATATTTCTGTTTTGCGATATGTTAAAGACAAAACGAATAATCAATTGATCAAAGACATAATCGACAAATTAGGGCGAGACACCTGAGGAATTAAATATAGACAGGAATTAAACTGAAAAGTCTGGTGTATGTAAGTGCTGCTGATTTCTGGCTCCAAATATGAGAAAAAAAAACATTTTGAGAAAATGGCCTTTAAAGATATTCATTGTATAACTCCATACATTTTAGACAAAAATAAGACACTACAGGCGAATAGGAAAAAAATCAACTCACCATGAAACTTCCCCAGTTGATAACATACATGAAGACAATTATTTTTGTATTACAAATTTTATGTTTAAATATTCAACTGAAGCATTGTCTAATTAAATTTTTGCTTTTTTATACATTTCCGAAACAGAAATCTGAACTAAAATAAAGATCTTTATGTGTATTTTGGATATTTTTAAGACGAATTATGGAAGACAAATAGCTCAAAATCTCAAAATTGACCACTGCATGAAAAATGTTTTTATCCAGGGTGACTGCCTTTATGAATTAATAATGAATCCTATTATTAGTTGCAGCCATAATTGGTGAATGCGGTGAATTAAAATGATACACTGGTGATATTCTATATTTTTCTTACTGGCAACAAAACACATAAAAAGACCAAAAGGCATTAGTTCGTCTTAATAGTTTCTGATCCTCTCAGCTTCTCTGTGTCTTCTTTAAAAAAATCTTCTTTGAATATTGGGTCAAACATTCAAAGTAGTATTTTTAGATAGGCTGAATAATGTCCTAAAACAACTGTTCAGAGGCAGCTTTAAATACATTTGCTCCTCTAGTGAGTATTTATGGCAGCAGGATGGTGTGTATGGGTTTGGATCAAAATGAACCACAGTGCCCATTTTCTATTTCATGAAGGAACATGTCAGCAACAGTGTGGCTCATTTCTGTGTTTTTAGTGGATTTTGGACGACAGTGGAGCTCCATGGGACAGAGGAATTAGCTGTATCAGGCCTTGGTGGTTCCACAGGCACAACATGTTAACTGGACTTCCTCTTTTCTCCTCAGGTTGTGTTCAACGTGTCTGTGGAGCTCCCAGGATGCCTGTCAGGCGTTCGGCACTTCTCCCTCAAACCGGTGGGTTTACAGGACAGTCTGGAGGTGGAACTGGAATCTCTTTGCTCGTGTGACTGCCGGCAGCCTCCTGAAGCAAACAGCACCCAGTGCACCGAGGGCCAAGGGGCTTTCCAGTGTGGCGTATGTGTGTGTCAGCCGGGGTTCCTGGGAGCACAGTGCGAATGTAATGAGGAAAGTGCTTTGTTGAGCAACTGCCTTGCAAACAATGAGTCCGAGATATGTAGCGGTCAGGGACAGTGCTACTGCGGACAGTGTGTGTGTCATGCATCCAGCTTTGGAAGCATCTATGGACCTTATTGCGAGTGTGACAATTACTCCTGTGTCCGCTTCCGTGGGGAGCTCTGTGGAGGTGAGTAACACACACGAGTGTTCGAGATTACTCACGTGTTTTTGTGTTAAGCCTTTTGCTTTAGTGATTTTGTGTTTGCAGGCCACGGGGTGTGTGACTGCGGGGAGTGTCACTGTGAGAGCGGCTGGACAGGGGAGTATTGTAACTGCAGTACCAGCACTGAGGCGTGCATGTCAGAGGATGGCACTCTCTGCAGCGGACGGGGGAGATGTGAGTGTGGCCACTGTGTCTGCTCTGTACCTGGAGCATCTGGGGACAGGTGTGAGAAGTGCCCAACGTGTGGAGACGCCTGTAGCTCCGCAAGGTGAGAATGAATTCAAGCCATCAGCTCTGAGAGGCGAAACAGGATGTGATGTGGAGCCTTTTGTCGGCTTTACCTCTGTAATTGCTGTTTCTTCAACTAAAAGATATAAGATGTTGTCTCTTTGCGCCACATGATCCGTCTGTTCCTTTGAGTACAGGCGTATCAGGTTCTAGTCCCCTTGTTCGCATGTGTCTACACCTTCCATGCAACATCAAAAGACAGCTAATGTCCCCAACACAGCACTCAGAGATTTCCTTGCTCCATTGTAAAGCAGCTGTCAGGGCTGGTGCCATTTGATACCACTGTTACAGGGCAGCTGTTTGATAGAGAGTGAGTCAAGCCTTGGGAAAACTGTGATAAGTGACCAACACTGTGATTTCTTTGTGCCCGCTGTGTCGGTGATTGAAGCCTCATTAAGCCTTCGCTTCCGGAGAGGCACTGAGTCATCTCTGAAGAAAACCTGACCTGTTGTTTTTCCACTTGTTTTAACACCAGGCCCTGTGTCGAGTGCCATCTGCAAGATAAGGATGATGCCGAGGTGTGTGATCAAAAGTGCAGCGTCCCTAAAATTTCTATCAACACAACAACAGGTAAAGGACTCCACAGCCTGTATACAAGAAGCAGCACTGCTTTTAATCATATGATGCACTTCCTCATGTATCTTATCACTTATGCCAGGTGGAGGGCAGTGTAATATCACTATATTTTAATGCATGCAAAATTAAATGTAAACAAAGAAATGGATTTAAATGGAAACAAAGGTTTTGCAACTGTTAAGAAAAACTTTACTCACCAATTTTGCACACAGAAAGGCACTTTGAATAAGTTTCTCTATAGCCAGATATTGCATCATCCATCGACCCAACTTGGCTTGTGTTGTCGAGTAACAGAAATGTGGTCAGTAATTGATGTATACTCCAAAGCATCAATTTGGAAATCAGAAAGAGGATTAAAAAACACCACAAAAGATCAAATAATGATTCATTCATTCATTCATTTCTGTAACCGCTTATCCTCTTGATGGTCACGGGAGGGCTGGCGCTGATCCCAGTTGACATTGGGTGAGAGGCGGGGTTCACCCTGGACAGGTCGCCAGACTATCACAGGGCTGACACATAGAGACAGACAACCATTCAGGCTCACATTCACACCTACGGACAATTTAGAGTCACCAATTAACCTGCATGTCTTTGGACTGTGGGAGGAAACATAGAAGGGCTCCCTCCTGGGATCAAACCAGGAACCCTCTCGCTGTGAGGCGACAGTGCTCACCACTACAGCACTGTGCCACCCAAATATAGATTAATTTGCTGAAAATTTTATAAACACTCAATCTGCCTCTTGTCAAATATATGTCAAACTTGTCAACTTTAGAATTTATGTTGATTTTTAAAAGGTTTAAAATGATGAATAATTAGTTTGGAGACTAAGAGGATGCAGGCATTCAAATTAATGTACAGTAGCTGCGATTATACGTGTTTTAACCCATTAACTGCACTTCATATGACTTATCTACTCCCCAAAAGAAGCCATATGTCTTTAGGTTGACTGTGCCAGTCAGCCACTTACAACAGGTCATGTCAGTACAGTGTGAGATTCAACTAGCTGATACTTGAAACTTGCTTCAGGTGGTTGATGTATCACAGGGAATATTTTGTTTCCCTCTTGTTACATTAACATCTAAGGTGGTTTTGGGTGTGGACTGTTTTTTTTTTTATGTATTGGCGCCTTCAAGAACTACAGTGGAAACCTGAAACATACGAAATGGCCACCACGAATCAATTGTTTTTCAAAAAACTTGTTTTTTTTCCCCACAACATCTGTGTTTGTTTTGTTGTCAGTCAGGTTTGTTGATAACACACAGTAGCTGAAGAATGTTTGGCCTTTTGGCAGCCAAACTTGAATATGAGTTTCTTGGAAGAGATTAACAAGGAAGAATTTTCAAAACAGTCCTTGACAGTGATAAAACGCTGACAGCAAACAAGGTCACTAAATATTCTCTGTAAAGGATCCCCAGCAGGTTTCAAGTTTATATAAGTTTATATATTGACACTGGCATAAAATTCGTCAATGGATTCCAGGAAGGAAGTTACTTAACATACTAGATCATGTAAAATAAGCAATAAGGTAAGGCTCTTAAAGGAACAGTGTGTAAGATTTAGGGGGATATTGTGGCATCTAGTGGTGAGGATTGTAGAGTCCAACCAGATGAAACTTCTCCAGGTTAGGGTGCCGTCAGTGTTTATTGTTCAGGGTTTTTTTTTTGCTGGGAGTGGATTTATCTGCAGAGGTCTCTTCCTCTCCAAAACAAACAGAGCAGGTGAATAAAACCAGTAAAAAAAACCCGCCAAATAAAGCAGCTTAACGTAACAAATCCGTGTTTCTCCCACATTGTTCGGCATGTCGCAGCTTGACCCCCAGCACAGCACCTCCTAATGTGTGCTCACCTTTTTTCTGATCCAGACATTCAGGTTTTTACCATGAGCCAGATTATATGTAGAGGTCTCCTCCTCTCCAAAACAAACAGACCTGGTATTATAAGCTGGTGAAAACACTGAATAAAGCCGTTTGACATTACAAATCAGTGTTTCTCAAACGCTGTCTGGCATGTCGGAGGTGAGCCGCCAGCCCAGCACCTGCTAATGTGTGCTCGTGTTTTTTCTCGGATAACTTCCAGATCTAGATGTACTGGAGGTATTTAAACCAAGAGCCGAAGTATTTGCAGAGGTCTCTTCCTCTCCAACACAAACAGACCCGGTGATTTAAACCAGTAAAAACACTGAATAAAGTGATTTTACGTTACAAAATCAGTGGTTTTCTGAATCTCTTGTCGCAGAGGGGCTGCTAACTACAGTGGCCAATGCAAAAATATGAATGGGCCGGTCTAGAGCCAGTGTTTGGTTTGTCCGTTCTGGGCTACTCTAGAAACATTGTGGGGCAACATAGTAACAAAAACACAGCTATTCTTATTTTTAGGTCATACACTAAAGAAAACATACTTATTATATCATACTCCATTTCTCATATATACCCCAAATCCTGCACACTGGACCTTTAAAATTAAAATTAAGATCTTAAAAATTAGAGTTACAGTACTACGTTTTCATCCAGCAGCTAAGTCTCGTTCTTAAATATTGTATTATTATGATATAAAATCAATCTCTGTCCCTACAGAATTAATTTTTTACAGAGTGTGTATTGACTTTAAAGCTTATTACATCTACATACAGCAGTCTATATACACCAGTCTTTTAGCACTATCCCTACCTGCGCTGTAGATGCTTGTTGTTTCTGTTCTCTCAGCTCAGTGTTTTTGATAGTGGTATCAACATAGGGCCATGCTAAGTTTCCCCATGGGTCAGAGATCTGGAGGAATGCTGACCTGCACCGACTCGGGTGTCTCTCTGAAGCCTGTATCCATCGCTCTCTAACACAACACCATCCATGTCTATTGAGGCAGCAGCGGACAATGGGGAACATATTATTTACCTTGTTGTACAGGCAGAGCTATTGTGGTGCCTGTGAATGGCCAAAGGACCCCGTCTTCCTTTATAGAAGAGATTATTTTAAACCCGCTATACTTGTGCAAGCTGAGAGGTATATCTGATTATCACAGAGGATTTTCAGGCTTCAGATGTTACATACAATGGCGTGGTTCACACACACACATGCACAGACACTAGATTGTGGGCTTTGATATGGAAATCACACTGACAGCACAACAGAGGAGAGCATATCCTTTTACATTCTCAGCACAATGTGGAAAGGGAAGATGATATACGATGGATTTGTGCCTTCATTATGGATATGTATGTTCACGTTTCCTCTTAGATTATGACAAGAGCCCTTCTATGCAATGCAAGCTGATGACGGAGAATGAGTGCTGGATCTCGTTTAATGTCATAGGAGGTGAGACAGGGATCACTACCTACGACCTCCAGATGTTCGGTAAGTTTTTACAACAATGTGGATAACATTAAATAGAAGGCTTTCCTGGTTTGAGTCTCATCTCCTCCTCTGCCCTGTCCCAGGTTGCCCTGAGACTCCCAACATCCCCATGATTATTCTGGGGGTCTCCCTTTCCATCGTGTGTATCGGCCTGATCCTGCTGGCTGTGTGGAAGGTGCTGGTATCTGTCCACGACCGTAAAGAGGTGGCCAAGTTTGAGGCTGAGAGGGCAAAGGCAAAATGGCAGACGGTAAGATACGGCTGGTTATATGTTTTGTTGTCCACAAATCCCATGAAACACTGAAACCAACAATGAATTGATGCTTCCAGCATGTATCATATGTGATACGCCCAGTATAGCTTAATCCTCTGTGCCATAAACCTGAACAACAGATTATCAATTTGATTATCAAACTGTGACAAATGTGCCCGCACCCTCACCCCACAACGGCATCTACACCAGATTATAAAAAAACATACTGATAGTGTAATGCAATATGAGGCAGCTGAGACATCATGATTTGAAGGATAATTATGTTCTAAATTTAGGTACTTCATTTCCCATAATGCTTTGAGAGATGTAAACAGGAAGTGTAATGTTAGGTTCGTTCGAGATGAGCCAGGCCTGCGCAGATTCGATCACCGGCGATCGGCGCACAATGCATGCCGGTTAGTTTTGTGTCCGACTTCATCCCGACTTGCTCTGACGTATTACAAAAGTNAGAGAAACCCTGTTCTGAAATCTTGATGACTCGATAAAAGCTGCTGCACAGAAGGTTTTTGTCACCTAGGATTCACTAAAAGTTTCGACAGAGGACTTGTGAGACCATTGTGGTTTACATATTAAAAGCATTTCAGAGAAGACTGGCGTTAGACTGCGTGCCGATTTAAGGACTTGGAATATGGTGATATATGGTGATATTCTATATTTTTCTTACTGGCAACAAAACACATAAAAAGACCAAAAGGCATTAGTTCGTCTTAATAGTTTCTGATCCTCTCAGCTTCTCTGTGTCTTCTTTAAAAAAATCTTCTTTGAATATTGGGTCAAACATTCAAAGTAGTATTTTTAGATAGGCTGAATAATGTCCTAAAACAACTGTTCAGAGGCAGCTTTAAATACATTTGCTCCTCTAGTGAGTATTTATGGCAGCAGGATGGTGTGTATGGGTTTGGATCAAAATGAACCACAGTGCCCATTTTCTATTTCATGAAGGAACATGTCAGCAACAGTGTGGCTCATTTCTGTGTTTTTAGTGGATTTTGGACGACAGTGGAGCTCCATGGGACAGAGGAATTAGCTGTATCAGGCCTTGGTGGTTCCACAGGCACAACATGTTAACTGGACTTCCTCTTTTCTCCTCAGGTCGTGTTCAACGTGTCTGTGGAGCTCCCAGGATGCCTGTCAGGCGTTCGGCACTTCTCCCTCAAACCGGTGGGTTTACAGGACAGTCTGGAGGTGGAACTGGAATCTCTTTGCTCGTGTGACTGCCGGCAGCCTCCTGAAGCAAACAGCACCCAGTGCACCGAGGGCCAAGGGGCTTTCCAGTGTGGCGTATGTGTGTGTCAGCCGGGGTTCCTGGGAGCACAGTGCGAATGTAATGAGGAAAGTGCTTTGTTGAGCAACTGCCTTGCAAACAATGAGTCCGAGATATGTAGCGGTCAGGGACAGTGCTACTGCGGACAGTGTGTGTGTCATGCATCCAGCTTTGGAAGCATCTATGGACCTTATTGCGAGTGTGACAATTACTCCTGTGTCCGCTTCCGTGGGGAGCTCTGTGGAGGTGAGTAACACACACGAGTGTTCGAGATTACTCACGTGTTTTTGTGTTAAGCCTTTTGCTTTAGTGATTTTGTGTTTGCAGGCCACGGGGTGTGTGACTGCGGGGAGTGTCACTGTGAGAGCGGCTGGACAGGGGAGTATTGTAACTGCAGTACCAGCACTGAGGCGTGCATGTCAGAGGATGGCACTCTCTGCAGCGGACGGGGGAGATGTGAGTGTGGCCACTGTGTCTGCTCTGTACCTGGAGCATCTGGGGACAGGTGTGAGAAGTGCCCAACGTGTGGAGACGCCTGTAGCTCCGCAAGGTGAGAATGAATTCAAGCCATCAGCTCTGAGAGGCGAAACAGGATGTGATGTGGAGCCTTTTGTCGGCTTTACCTCTGTAATTGCTGTTTCTTCAACTAAAAGATATAAGATGTTGTCTCTTTGCGCCACATGATCCGTCTGTTCCTTTGAGTACAGGCGTATCAGGTTCTAGTCCCCTTGTTCGCATGTGTCTACACCTTCCATGCAACATCAAAAGACAGCTAATGTCCCCAACACAGCACTCAGAGATTTCCTTGCTCCATTGTAAAGCAGCTGTCAGGGCTGGTGCCATTTGATACCACTGTTACAGGGCAGCTGTTTGATAGAGAGTGAGTCAAGCCTTGGGAAAACTGTGATAAGTGACCAACACTGTGATTTCTTTGTGCCCGCTGTGTCGGTGATTGAAGCCTCATTAAGCCTTCGCTTCCGGAGAGGCACTGAGTCATCTCTGAAGAAAACCTGACCTGTTGTTTTTCCACTTGTTTTAACACCAGGCCCTGTGTCGAGTGCCATCTGCAAGATAAGGATGATGCCGAGGTGTGTGATCAAAAGTGCAGCGTCCCTAAAATTTCTATCAACACAACAACAGGTAAAGGACTCCACAGCCTGTATACAAGAAGCAGCACTGCTTTTAATCATATGATGCACTTCCTCATGTATCTTATCACTTATGCCAGGTGGAGGGCAGTGTAATATCACTATATTTTAATGCATGCAAAATTAAATGTAAACAAAGAAATGGATTTAAATGGAAACAAAGGTTTTGCAACTGCTAAGAAAAACTTTACTCACCAATTTTGCACACAGAAAGGCACTTTGAATAAGTTTCTCTATAGCCAGATATTGCATCATCCATCGACCCAACTTGGCTTGTGTTGTCGAGTAACAGAAATGTGGTCAGTAATTGATGTATACTCCAAAGCATCAATTTGGAAATCAGAAAGAGGATTAAAAAACACCACAAAAGATCAAATAATGATTCATTCATTCATTCATTTCCGTAACCGCTTATCCTCTTGATGGTCACGGGAGGGCTGGCGCTGATCCCAGTTGACATTGGGTGAGAGGCGGGGTTCACCCTGGACAGGTCGCCAGACTATCACAGGGCTGACACATAGAGACAGACAACCATTCAGGCTCACATTCACACCTACGGACAATTTAGAGTCACCAATTAACCTGCATGTCTTTGGACTGTGGGAGGAAACATAGAAGGGCTCCCTCCTGGGATCAAACCAGGAACCCTCTCGCTGTGAGGCGACAGTGCTCACCACTACAGCACTGTGCCACCCAAATATAGATTAATTTGCTGAAAATTTTATAAACACTCAATCTGCCTCTTGTCAAATATATGTCAAACTTGTCAACTTTAGAATTTATGTTGATTTTTAAAAGGTTTAAAATGATGAATAATTAGTTTGGAGACTAAGAGGATGCAGGCATTCAAATTAATGTACAGTAGCTGCGATTATACGTGTTTCAACCCATTAACTGCACTTCATATGACTTATCTACTCCCCAAAAGAAGCCATATGTCTTTAGGTTGACTGTGCCAGTCAGCCACGTACAACAGGTCATGTCAGTACAGTGTGAGATTCAACTAGCTGATACTTGAAACTTGCTTCAGGTGGTTGATGTATCACAGGGAATATTTTGTTTCCCTCTTGTTACATTAACATCTAAGGTGGTTTTGGGTGTGGACTGTTTTTTTTTTTATGTATTGGCGCCTTCAAGAACTACAGTGGAAACCTGAAACATACGAAATGGCCACCACGAATCAATTGTTTTTCAAAAAACTTGTTTTTTTTCCCCACAACATCTGTGTTTGTTTTGTTGTCAGTCAGGTTTGTTGATAACACACAGTAGCTGAAGAATGTTTGGCCTTTTGGCAGCCAAACTTGAATATGAGTTTCTTGGAAGAGATTAACAAGGAAGAATTTTCAAAACAGTCCTTGACAGTGATAAAACGCTGACAGCAAACAAGGTCACTAAATATTCTCTGTAAAGGATCCCCAGCAGGTTTCAAGTTTATATAAGTTTATATATTGACACTGGCATAAAATTCGTCAATGGATTCCAGGAAGGAAGTTACTTAACATACTAGATCATGTAAAATAAGCAATAAGGTAAGGCTCTTAAAGGAACAGTGTGTAAGATTTAGGGGGATATTGTGGCATCTAGTGGTGAGGATTGTAGAGTCCAACCAGATGAAACTTCTCCAGGTTAGGGTGCCGTCAGTGTTTATTGTTCAGGGTTTTTTTTTTGCTGGGAGTGGATTTATCTGCAGAGGTCTCTTCCTCTCCAAAACAAACAGAGCAGGTGAATAAAACCAGTAAAAAAAACCCGCCAAATAAAGCAGCTTAACGTAACAAATCCGTGTTTCTCCCACATTGTTCGGCATGTCGCAGCTTGACCCCCAGCACAGCACCTCCTAATGTGTGCTCACCTTTTTTCTGATCCAGACATTCAGGTTTTTACCATGAGCCAGATTATATGTAGAGGTCTCCTCCTCTCCAAAACAAACAGACCTGGTATTATAAGCTGGTGAAAACACTGAATAAAGCCGTTTGACATTACAAATCAGTGTTTCTCAAACGCTGTCTGGCATGTCGGAGGTGAGCCGCCAGCCCAGCACCTGCTAATGTGTGCTCGTGTTTTTTCTCGGATAACTTCCAGATCTAGATGTACTGGAGGTATTTAAACCAAGAGCCGAAGTATTTGCAGAGGTCTCTTCCTCTCCAACACAAACAGACCCGGTGATTTAAACCAGTAAAAACACTGAATAAAGCGATTTTACGTTACAAAATCAGTGGTTTTCTGAATCTCTTGTCGCAGAGGGGCTGCTAACTACAGTGGCCAATGCAAAAATATGAATGGGCCGGTCTAGAGCCAGTGTTTGGTTTGTCCGTTCTGGGCTACTCTAGAAACATTGTGGGGCAACATAGTAACAAAAACACAGCTATTCTTATTTTTAGGTCATACACTAAAGAAAACATACTTATTATATCATACTCCATTTCTCATATATACCCCAAATCCTGCACACTGGACCTTTAAAATTAAAATTAAGATCTTAAAAATTAGAGTTACAGTACTACGTTTTCATCCAGCAGCTAAGTCTCGTTCTTAAATATTGTATTATTATGATATAAAATCAATCTCTGTCCCTACAGAATTAATTTTTTACAGAGTGTGTATTGACTTTAAAGCTTATTACATCTACATACAGCAGTCTATATACACCAGTCTTTTAGCACTATCCCTACCTGCGCTGTAGATGCTTGTTGTTTCTGTTCTCTCAGCTCAGTGTTTTTGATAGTGGTATCAACATAGGGCCATGCTAAGTTTCCCCATGGGTCAGAGATCTGGAGGAATGCTGACCTGCACCGACTCGGGTGTCTCTCTGAAGCCTGTATCCATCGCTCTCTAACACAACACCATCCATGTCTATTGAGGCAGCAGCGGACAATGGGGAACATATTATTTACCTTGTTGTACAGGCAGAGCTATTGTGGTGCCTGTGAATGGCCAAAGGACCCCGTCTTCCTTTATAGAAGAGATTATTTTAAACCCGCTATACTTGTGCAAGCTGAGAGGTATATCTGATTATCACAGAGGATTTTCAGGCTTCAGATGTTACATACAATGGCGTGGTTCACACACACACATGCACAGACACTAGATTGTGGGCTTTGATATGGAAATCACACTGACAGCACAACAGAGGAGAGCATATCCTTTTACATTCTCAGCACAATGTGGAAAGGGAAGATGATATACGATGGATTTGTGCCTTCATTATGGATATGTATGTTCACGTTTCCTCTTAGATTATGACAAGAGCCCTTCTATGCAATGCAAGCTGATGACGGAGAATGAGTGCTGGATCTCGTTTAATGTCATAGGAGGTGAGACAGGGATCACTACCTACGACCTCCAGATGTTCGGTAAGTTTTTACAACAATGTGGATAACATTAAATAGAAGGCTTTCCTGGTTTGAGTCTCATCTCCTCCTCTGCCCTGTCCCAGGTTGCCCTGAGACTCCCAACATCCCCATGATTATTCTGGGGGTCTCCCTTTCCATCGTGTGTATCGGCCTGATCCTGCTGGCTGTGTGGAAGGTGCTGGTATCTGTCCACGACCGTAAAGAGGTGGCCAAGTTTGAGGCTGAGAGGGCAAAGGCAAAATGGCAGACGGTAAGATACGGCTGGTTATATGTTTTGTTGTCCACAAATCCCATGAAACACTGAAACCAACAATGAATTGATGCTTCCAGCATGTATCATATGTGATACGCCCAGTATAGCTTAATCCTCTGTGCCATAAACCTGAACAACAGATTATCAATTTGATTATCAAACTGTGACAAATGTGCCCGCACCCTCACCCCACAACGGCATCTACACCAGATTATAAAAAAACATACTGATAGTGTAATGCAATATGAGGCAGCTGAGACATCATGATTTGAAGGATAATTATGTTCTAAATTTAGGTACTTCATTTCCCATAATGCTTTGAGAGATGTAAACAGGAAGTGTAATGTTAGGTTCGTTCGAGATGAGCCAGGCCTGCGCAGATTCGATCACCGGCGATCGGCGCACAATGCATGCCGGTTAGTTTTGTGTCCGACTTCATCCCGACTTGCTCTGACGTATTACAAAAGTGGACAGCGATAAAACCGCGAGAGCGAGGCGGCTGCAGTTTTTAGAGCCAGGCGCTGCAGTTGCTCTCCACCGACTGCACCGCCTGGCTCTCACCTGATCTAACAGCTGATTGGTTAAGATGTCAACTCAACAAGATAACGTTTTAGATACAGAGTCTACTGTATATCAACACTGGACTTTTTAATTATTGAAGTATTTAGCAACACAGAGACTTGTGGTCAGTGGGATGTGAGGATTCTTAAAATAACATCAGATGTGAAGCCCTGACTGTATCTGACTGAGCCTTAATGAAAGCTGTTGTCTTGTATTTTTTTTTCCTCTGAAAGTATTAACCTTATAGTCAAACACTGTTTATTTAGCCCCTGTAGTTGAGGGGACAGGTCAAAGTGATATGATGCTGATTTACAGGAGAATTCATATCAAATGGAGGATAAACCATGAACATTAACTACAGATCACCTGTAAAGCATTTTAATAAATTAATCTATCATAATTAAAACAACTGGAGACTGAAAACAAACTGATATATGGGTCTGATCACTTTTTTAATGAATTGACATCATTCCAGACAGGATGTTAGTGTGTCTGTGACTTCCTGTACGGACTGAAGGCTGCTGGAAACTGTCGGGAAACTGTTCGACTTCACCGCGGCTTTTTGTCACTGCCCCCCGCTGCGGCCGCCTGCTCTCGTCTACTTTAGGCGCAGTTCATTTCGAACGAGCCTATTGCCAGCTTGCCATTGACTCATGCTGCATTCACATGCTCCTCAGATGGTCCCATTTCCTGAGTTGAGAAGTGGTTCTTCTGACTTTGGTGTGTTTATGAGCTTTAAGTTGGAATGTGGAAACAACGCAGACACTCAAAAGAATCTGTGTTGTACTTGTAATTGTACTTTATTGCTCAGAGCATTTAAACAACAATTTGATAACAGTTTGAATGTTTATATCGCAACTGATTTTGTCTCAGACTTGTTGGTGCACCAGTACATTCCCTAAAACTACTAAAATATTGCTTCACCTTACTAGTGCTCATAAATAACTTTTCTAACTAATCTCAGTCACTCTACTGTATGTGGACAGCAACTGACGGTTACAACCTTATACCACATTACAAATTACATGTGAGCAACAGTTGACATGCACTGTCTAAAATAATTAAAGTTTATGACCTCCAACCAAACATTTACTATCGTCCGCCATGTTTTGGCATATACCATGTTAACCCGGCAACTTGCGTACCAAGATTTTCAGAAATTTTCCAAGTCCTTGTTCCCACTTTAGGGGCATTCACGTGAATTTTTCCCAGTCGAGAATTCATTTTTCCGATTATTTCGACACCACATGAATGCAGGGTTAGTCAGTTAACTGTGAAGTTAGTTGAGTCAGTTAAATTTTTGCATATATTTGTTAACATTTTGGCAAACTTGCACCACTGAAAGTATGCCAAATTAGCTATTAGCAGTTCCTGTCTACAATCTATCCACAAATGTATAGACGACTATTACTGGAGTACTTTAATACTGAAAATAAAATGTAAAACGTGATGATTGTCAGGCAAATTCTGGAGTTATAAGGAGAGATAATATCCTTGAAGACTGTACAAGATAAAGAATCTTAAAATATGTGTATCATGCCTGTGTGATCAGATTTGAGTCTGAGAAGTATGCATTGTGATGCAAATAGCAGTTATCAGCCACTAAGAGTCTTCATGTTGACCCCTAAAACTAAATTGCCTTTCACCTCATCCACAGCCAAGATGTAGTCCCAAAAAAGCAGTATTTATTTCTGTTTGAGTAACGTTTGCTGAAAACTTGAATGCCTAGCTGATTTAGAAAGATCCTCAGTCTTTTTAGAGAATAAAAGTACAAGTGACCTGCTTGTAAAGATTGACCTTTTCAATGGGATGAGTGGGTTTGGGGCTACAAGCCACAGACAGGCTGGTATTTTTGGAAGGATCAACACATTGTTGGTTTTGGTCTTTTCATGGTGATTGTTGACAATAATAAATATTGAATATTATAGCCTGAATGTTCTGGAAATAATATTTTAATAATCAGTTAATCTAATTTATCTTCATTTGTGTTTTTTTCTTTGTCTCTCTTTCAGGGGACCAACCCTCTCTTCAAAAGCTCAACGTCTACATTCAAAAATGTAACTTATAAGAACACACAGAGAGAAAAGATGATTACACTGGATCACTACTGATGACAAACTGGAGGCAAACCAACATCTGAGTGCACTTAAGTGTGTGTGAATTAGTATGTGTGTACGTGTGAGTGGGTGCGTGTTTGAGACAGAGGGAAAAAATTTTGTACTAAAATTTGTTTTTGTAAGAATCTCTGTGTTGATTCAGAGACGTTATAACACAGTAGACGACACTGTGAACAGACAAACACTACATGATGAACTTGCTGCTGTAAAAGTGCACTGTCGATGTACTGTTAAACACTGCACTTTCCTGATGCATTGTCGTACAAACTTTAACTTTTGTCTACTGTAACATGCAGCTTGGAAAGGAGGAGTCTGCACTACGAGTGGTCTACTACTGAAAAAAAATCTTTTATTCTATTGAATGTAAATATACAGGTGGATTATTATGACTTTTTTAAAATATTGTGTTTGTTGGTGTTTTATTGTAAAGCAAGGCTGAGCCTTTGATGTTGATAATTGAGGTTTTTTTAGTGGCATGGCACATAAATAAAGTTGAATTTTGTTTTATTGTGAAATGTATGTTACAAAGTGGTTCTTAACACTGACAGATATTGATTAGATTGATTGGATCTGGTGCTAAGAAATCCTACTTAAAGTTTATTTTGTTTACAGTGGGAGCGCATTCAGTAGGGTTTAGCTAAGTACTCTGATGAAGGGAGTCTCTGGTATGGATAATGTACTTTTTACGAGTATGAGTATCATTCGAGGAAAAATGTGTCATTATTTGTACTCGTGATGAAGGAAGCCCCTCATTTGGATGGCTGCTTTTAATCTTTTTTGTTGCTCACAAATGATCTAAGTTCAATCCTGAGATTGTTCTGTAAATAGTTTTCATAAATAATCATTGGCATAGTCATCATAATAATGATGACTATGCCAACTTTTAATCAACCGATATTAATATAATTTAATTATTAATGATAATAATTTTATATAATAATTAATATAATTTTAAAATAACAACTTCTGGTTTGGCCCCACCTGTTTTTGGTTTAAGCCCCACCCACTTCTGGTTTAAACTCAGTCAGTTCAGAGAACAAACAAGGATACAAATAATTTAGTTCAGTCAGGAACACTTTAGTCAAAGAAAATGTTATTTCCATTTGCAATATTATATTTGGCAGTATGGCTCTGTTCTGGGGCCTCTCTGCCTTTCCTCAGGGCTATGCAGAAAGCCTCTTCCTCATGCTTGCGTGAAAAGCCTAAGGCAGAGAGAACACACCTCTCTGCCCTTCAACGTGCAAATGAGGAAAGCCTGACAGTGAGAGCAAAGCTCCCTGCCCTTCCATGCGCCTACATGGAAAGCCTAAGGCCAGGAGAGCAGCAGCAAAGAACCCTTGCGAACAGAAGAGAGCAGCATCAATGACAAACAGAAATGACATTGATAAGTCAGACACAACATGAAAAGGAGGAGCTGGGGTGGAGGCAGGTTGCAAAGCAGCTTGCAGAGGAAGCAGCAACAGTAGGCAGGCCAGAGCAATTTAAATATGTCGCTCTGAATGAGATTTGCCAATTGGTTGCATAGAAAGGAATCATGTGATCTGTCAGCTAACTCCCCTCCATCAACCAGCTGCTCCATCAGTTGACTGGGCTGCTTGAGATAGCTGATATATCTGGGACGTGAGCTTAGCTTGACATTGTGTCCTGCCTGAACTAACGCTATGCTCAATTTGGTTGCAAAGATACAGATAGTGTACTCGCTCATCCCTCAAATTGAAGTTCTTTTATTTTACTTGAGTGTTTCCTTTTTCTCCTACTCCACTCAAGGTTAGGTTACCAATAGAACAAACTGCCCTGGGGCCCTGAAAGCCCCATGATCGCTGTGTGTCAGTTGTTTTTATTTGTTTATTTTTCTTTTTGGTCATTTGATTACTTGGAACTTTGCACCAGTAAAGTACAAGATTAGCCCGGTCCTGCATTATTAATAGCCTTCCTACGTGGCCCTGTCATGTTGAAGGGAACTGTGTTAAATGTAGTTCTAACAACTTTATTATGTATCTTATATTGTGCTCACATGGTGCATTTTCCTAAAGTTGTGTTTCATCAAACGACAACATAAGGAAAACCTGGGGTGAGATATTATTTTGTGTACAGTAGGAGTACTGGCTTGTTTCTGGGTGTCTGTACAAAATATAATACAGCTGTCATCCACAGTTTGCTGTGTGTGTTGTACTTGATGAGACCTTTGAGAGAACAGCCTGTGAAAAACAGTTTTATAAAGTCCTCTGTTGCTCTGGGGGAGCTTTTCCAAAGTCTGAGACATTGTCAGGATCATCACAGATTGAGCTGTGGAGTTCAAAGATGTGTGCATTTAGAGGGAGGAGGGGTGTAACAAAAGATGCTATTGTTGGCTGCATTATGGGAAATCGTAGGATCCAGTGTTTTTGGAGGTTGATAAGCCTCAGGACTGTCAGAGGGTCTCAGCCTCTGCTGCTTTCAGTGCTGTCTGTCCAGTAGTGAAAAAAGTACTCGGATCTTTTATACTTTATTGCCTAGCCTGAGTGTCAGACTGAAGCTCCCAGAACCTTCAGTCTGACATCGCCTCCATTGAAGGCAATTTACAAGGGGGAGCTGCATCGCCGTTAAATCCAGTTTGGCAGCTTCCTTAATTTGGTCCTCCATTAACGTGAGTAGTGGCGAAATACCTCGATATCATCGTTAATGTGGTCTGTAGGATCTGTAGTGGTTGCCATTGTTGCTATCCTCACCAGTTACCCACCGGCGGACAGCTTGACATCAGCGTGGCACTGATTGGCTAATCGCTAGACCCGCCCCCACCCCCGGCGTTCATTGGTCCTTCCATCTTTTGGACGAGAAATTCCAATTCCAATTCCAAGAAAGTCGCAAATTCATTGCAGTATGCCAGACCAGAGATGCAAGCCTACTCAGTTGAGTGGGCGGGGTCTATGGTCTGGAACCAGGCTAGAACAGGCCTACAGGCAAAGGCACAGGGGCCCCCAGCCTTCATCTGCAACATGTCAATCAAATTATCACCCAGGAATAGACCCAAAATTACCACAAAGAGACACAAAATTACCAAAACGAGATGCAAAGGAAAGGAAAGAGTAACAAAATAACTACACAAACAGGCAAAACAACCAAAAAGAGACACACATTGACCAGAAAAAGATACAAAATCAGCTCAAATAGACATAAAACCACAAAAAGACACATAACAATTACAAAGAGATGCAAAACAACCAATAAAAGAGGCCAAACCAACACAAAGTCTGTGTGTCTTGCTCCTGTTGAGGAGATGTGATGGGGCCTTTTGCATATCTGTGCTCAGGGGCCCATCGTCCCAAAATTTGCCCGTATAAAAGGAAATACCAAAGTGCAGATACACTCTGTCAAAAGTAAAAGCCATGCATTCAAAATTTTACTTTACTTTTAAGAGTACACAATTATTAGCATCAAAATATACTTAAAGGTCTAGTATGTGTGATTTAAGAGCATCTGTTGACTGAAATCAGTAGTTAATAATCACCTGAAAACAAGAATCATGTTTTTGTTACCTTAGATTGAGCTGTTAATATCTACAGACAGAGTGGATCCTCTTCATGGATGTATGAAGAGACCTGGATATAGTGTTGGAGGCAGTTCATTCCTCTAAAAGTTGCTCAGTGGTGCATGAAGCCAAAAAAGTTTCACTGACACATATAAAATGACCCGAATGATTGGCATTGCCTCTGCATCACTGGGCCCATAGAGGAAGAGAGATCTTCTTCAATTGAGCCAGCTACTTCTGGTTCAGTGACTTGAATGGGAATAAAATTATTCAATCATGTGTCTCTTCTAGACTTTCCAGATGTTATTGAACCAAATAGATCAAATTCTGAAAAATGTATCAACTGATTTACAAACATCTCTTTTGCTATGTAAATGAATGGAAGAAAGTCTTTGAGCCCAATGGCATCACACAACTGACGTGGTTACACTGTTTGGCTTTACACAAAAATTGGCTGCAAAGCCCAAGCACTTCCTGGTGGCCTGGTGCTATTCCAAAGAGTCTGCCTTGGCTCTAGATAGGGCCATTTCCATTTTCATGTTGGCCACCATATTTCTCCTACACTGGGCCCATTCAATTGGCAACCCACGGGCCACATGCTGCCCAGAAGCTACCTCTGAGTGGCCCGGACAGGGATTGGTACCAAGACCCGTTATCAAACAGCCCGAGGCAAATTTAATCAAGACCATATATAATAAGCTCTGACTTGATCAGGTCTTTTATCGTTACTTTTTAAAGTTTTGGTTTCATTTATCATCAGGCTGCAGCCTCTCTCCTACGAAAACCTTCGCCAGTAAAAAGCCAATACTTTATCAATACGTGTCTTCAGCATGTGGAAAGCCATATTTCAATATGCTCTGTCACCGCTATTATTGTTTACGATTGCGGTTTAATCAAGCAGGGCTAACAGCAAACAGCCATAACAGCCATAGACTGTATAAAGTAAAAACTAAAAAAAGTAGATTGGCTGCTCACTGCTAAAAATGTGGCCCATCGTCATTTTCTGGTTTTAAAATCCTGCCCAATTGAATTTGTAATTGGCTCGCCCTGTCCTACAGGCTTGGCACATGGTAAAAGTTTCAGTTCTGCAACCTCACCACTAGATGCCACTAAATCCTCCACAGTGGACCTTTAAAGTACCAAAGATATTATCAGTTGATAATATTTTGTATTAATAACCTGAATCTGCAAAGTAACTGAAATTATATTTTAAAAAATGCAATAAAAAGTGCAGTACTTGCCTCTGGATTGTTGTGGAGAACAAGTATACAGTGGCAAGAAATGGAAATAGGCCTACTCATGTAAGGTACAATCACATTAAAAAGTACAATACTTAGGCCTAAGTAAATGTCACCACTCTATCTATCTATCTATCTATCTATCTATCTATCTGTCTGTTTGTCTGTCTATCTGTCTGTTTATTTGTTGCCTGGTTGTTGAGTCTAAATAAAGTTTCATGGCTGTGTCCCAGTGAAAACAGTCCACAGCGGCAGGAATGCAGCCTCCAGACCGGAGAGCAGCAGCAGCTCCTCCGTCAGACGTGACGTCGCTGGTCCCCCGCTGAAAAACTCCACTCGACACAAAGTTTTCTATGAAGGGGAAAAAACAACGAGCCCCAAAAATACTCTCTCTGACCAGGACCCTCGGTATGTGCGGACATTTGCACTTCAACATCGCATCCCGCCGTCGAAATGTTAATGCAGTTGTTTCGTCTCATCGACTCCCTGGCTGTTGTGGCGACTATTTGTGTAGCAGTGTTGTTGGCGAAAAGCTGCCTGTGTGTCACCGAGGAGGACGATGAGGTGCTGGAGAAAAACCAGCTCATGGAGTTTTACAGTAAGTTAAATCATCATCTGGCTGCAGCTGCTGCTCGGGGCTCCTTTTTTCTAATGTTACTGACCTCCTGCACAATAAAGCCACACTACATCTGTTGTCCTGTGCTTCTAACATGGTAGATAATTATATAACTGTACTGAGTGGTGTGTGGAGGAAGCAGAATAACCATTA